TTTACATTTTCTTATTAAAAAAACATCTTTTTTTTTTGTTTTCAAACCTGCCATAACGAAAACCATTAGCATAATGAACATTTCATATTTTTTCCCCAAACTTAAAGGTAAATTCTTACATACTTGTAAGCACAAAAAACATTTTATTGGACCACGTTTAATATTCGGCTTTTGTTTTTTTTCTCAGAGCCAGCTGAGCTGGCGAAGAGTATTTAATTTAAATGCCGACCATAAACGTTCAAATATTTTTAAAGCGAATTTATTACAAAATGCAAACTCTGTCATACAAACAATTCAGGGGGCCATCGAGGGAGGGAGTTGGGGAGGAAAGCAAACACTCCCGGGGAAGGAGCACACATAAAACCCATCGTCAAAGCATGTTCCAGGACAGTGAAGGAGATGGATGGGGTTTTAGGGGGATCGAAATGCATGTCTTATCACCGAGGAATGGTATTTGGACTCACGTGGCAGCAGGAGCCCAGAGCCCGTAGAATGCTTATAGGAAAATGCAACATAAAATACTTTTTAAATGTGAATAAATATTTGGCAGCTGTATCCTGGAATACCATCAAAGTGTTGCTAGAGGAAAAGAGGGCGTTGTCGGGGGAGGGCGGCAGATCAGGAGTTTATGGCGATGCAAATGGAAATGGAGAGTGAAAATTTATATGTTAAGAGGCTAACATTTTCCATGACCAAATTTATCTCCCATGAAGGCGTAAGTAGCAAAGATGAATCAAATGGAGTGAGAAATTACCTGTAGTTAAACTTCAATATTGGTTGGGGGATCGAAGATAAAGCAGCTCAAACAAAATAAGAGCACTGAAATAAATCCTAATGTAGGTCAGTAAAAGTAAGCGAGGTACTCATCTAAGAATTGGTACTTAAAGTCTGTCACAAATTGGAATATACATATGGGTACCATATTCTCTTTTCTTAAACATATTATTCTTCTCTTCCTAAGCTCTTTAAGTTGTACTGTTGAACGTTGATGCACTACTATATAAGCAGTACAAACAAGTGCCCCAACGACACCTAGCTCTGGCTTGTTACGCGCGAGGCTCTTATACATTTGGGCGAAATACGAGATCGTGTGGAAATAACTAATATCTAATACATACAGAAAGCTATCGTTAAGATGCAGACTATTCGAAAATACAGTATTTCAAGACTGGGTTAGAAGTTAAATTACAAATTAGATGTTACAAAGTGTTATAATTAGCACGGAAAGGCTCTTGCATTGGCTGTACATATAGGTAAGTTAAGAAGTTGAAAGTTACTTTCAGGCCTAAAGGGACATTACATGTTTAACCGCAAATCAATTCTACAAAGTCATGACCAGATCATGCCAGGAATAGTGCTGTGCATTTTACGCATTATCAGAGCAGGTAAATTAAGCAATACGAGTCTATTAAACAAGAGAGCATTTTTCCCAATTGTATCAAACAACGGATGTGTTTAGTAACTTAGTTACGGACGGATTGTCAGGTATCTTTTGGATTACATAAATCTTAAACCCTGATATTCAGAACTCTTAAAATAAAATTTACTTCATTACCATAATTAGCAAGGAAACACTTTTTTCTAATATCAAGTTGAAACTTTTAATCAGACCCTAACAACTTCTCGGGTAGTAACCATAAAAAATGCATACAAACGAAATATATAAGCAAACTTTTAACAAATTGTAAAGAGTTTATATGCTCTCACATACTAAATCCCCTTGACTCGAGTTTAACACCCTTGGTATTTGGTGCGTTTATGAATTCATAAACTCGCCTAATTAGAGGCGTAAACATTTTCGGACTGAGAATCGTGCCCAATTAAATACACACAGAGTTCTTTTAGGGGAAAATAAAACTGTAAAATTATGAACAAAGTGCTTCTCGTAATAAGAATGCAATAAATGAGGAAATGAGCCTGAAAATGGCCCGAATGTTTGAATTTATCAGAGAGAGAGAAAGTAAGCGAGCGTGGCCAGAATCCGAATTTCATCTGCAATTGTCCCCAGTTTGTTTGCATCTTCATTGCCATGGGGCGTGTTAATTTTCAAAGGGGATTCCCCAGCCCTGCGGTGATTAGCATGCACATGTGAGAAGGTCCATCGATCCAGAAGCTTCTAGTAAACACTGGCAAAACAATTTAATTAATAAAAAGTATGCAAATTTAATTAGAGAGAACGCTTCTCGTTCCATAGCTTGTTAAGAAACATTTTAGCCGAAAAGTTCCCTAAGCTTCGTCTATGTATTTCGGGATGTAAGCCCCACTCAAGTGAATTTTTAAAGCCTCTCGCTTAAGCATTTTTTAATTGTTGCCCAGTTGAGGTAAACTCCTTTATTCTTACATGAATTAATTAAGTATGAAAAGTTTCCGCATCTAAGTATTTTCACAGACCCAAGGATAAAAGAAAATGAACGGCAAAGAAAAAGAAATCCCGAGACCCAAATCATCCGCCCTCTTACTGCCTCAGTCTCTGGTGTCCTTTTTGTTGCGTATTATTCCATTTTGTAAATTTAAAGAAAACAAGAGTCGTCCACAAATCGTCACAGTCTGAAGCATTTCATAAACAACCGAAGGGCATGGCATGAAAATAAGTAGTTTTCAACGCCTTCCACTTCCACTTCATTCAAAGCACCTGAGCGAGAGAATTGAATTTCCCAGGCATGGCATTTTGCGCAAGAAAGTAGACAACATAAAATGATCGAAAGGTCGCTGAAGATGTGGTGACAGTGGATATGAAAACTCTTTACTATAAAAAACTGATGGTTGTTAGATAGATCACTTTCTATTTTCTCGATTTAAAAATAATTCAAAGAAATGGAACCACAAGATATTCCTATGGTTTTTAGTGCAGGCCCAGTTTGTTTTTGTTTTTGTCACAACTCTACCACTTTTCGAACGTTCTGGAAGTTGAAAGAAGTCACAAACATTCATAAAAGTTAAAATACTTAAAGAAAAGACAGTACTATGTCATCGTGATAGACTACTTTTTGAAAAATTAGGGTTTCCATTTTTTTTTTAACCATATTAAAAAGCTTTTATCGCAAGTTATACATTTTCAAAGAATTAAGAAATATGCATAAACTTTCCACACTTTGTGGTAAACTACTTATAGAATGATAAAGTTACGAAACCATTTTTTATTTAACAATATTAAGCAGTATTAATAATCGATCGGTTTTTATGCATTAATCTATATAATCACAAAATATATCAAAAATATATATTCTCTTTGAATGATTAATGCCTAAGCCTTCAAAGCAATTACGAAGTAAAGGTAACGACATTCAAAGCCAATAATAACATAATCCGATTTTTTCACAATTTCTTCCACGAAACTAAAAATGCAATTTATACATGATTGACATAAAATGCATGTAAAAAATCAGAAGGATTAGGTGCATTTAGCTTGGGACACTGTGCCAAACCAACTCAGGTTTACTCCTGCCGCAGCTAAGCGGCTTTTGCGAGGCACCGCACTTAAATACATTTTTAATTTCATCATTTTTCAATTATAGTGGTTTTTTTATCAACCCGGTTAAATAGTCTTCAGTTTGATGCAAACGTAATTGAAATTTAATTGCTCATTTATTATTTTTTTGTTCTTGAAATTGATGTTTAACAGAATTTCCATTGATTTTTGTATACGTTTTTGGAGGGCATCAAGTCATTCGAATGAGTGAACAAATCAGCAATTTCTGAGAAATTGGAGCACCAACTGTTGTTGTTAATACAGGGAAATTAATTTCAACTGCCGAACTTAAAGATCAGAAGTTCCACAAGTTTGAGCAGAAGTTCCCGCTAAAGTTTTAGCAATTTAAGTTAGTAACAGCTAAAAGGAGCGGGTAGAGCTCTTGGTAAAATCATAAAACTATAAGGGTGCTCTAATATGAGAGCAGAGTAAAGCTTAAAATGATTGCGATAATCCAAAGGACTTACTTGGCCCGGGCCAAGAGGTAATAAAGCCAAGGGGCCAACTTCAATTTTGCAGCAAGAAAATAAAGATTTTGCCCAGATACAAGGGGCAAAAGGTCGCCTAGGCCAAAGCCTCAAAAGAGAGAGCCCAATGAGGAAGGACAAAGGGGAAGCAACAAATGTCCTGGGCTCAACACACATCATCGAAGGTCCACCGCCTTGGTCCTGGGTTCCATGTTGACTTTATGGCTTAGGCCAGCTAAGAAGCAATTTCTAAAAGGCCAGGGCATTTGCTGAATTATAAACATATGAAATTTTGAGCCATAAAAACATAATTAAGTGGGGAGTCGGAATCAAATTTTTGGCCCGAACTTAGGAAAGGATTTGCTAAATGTCTTTCAAATGAAGTTTGCTTTCTCAAAGCTTTAAAATTTAAAAACTTACTAATTAGCAACAATAATTTTCTTTTAAAGCAAGAAAAATTAACGTTTCGTAAATTTTAAATGATATAATTCTTAAAATAAATAATTTACTGTGAATATTTTGTAGAACAATTCTTGTTGTAATTGTTTTAAAATGAATATTTTCTGTATAGTTTATTTCATTTCATTTAACCGTCGGCAAAAATAAAAAGTTTGATTAACTATTATTTTACTTCAAAATTTTTCTAAAAAAAAAAGGGTTTTATTTGGAAGCCCATGCATGTGTAATTTAATTAAAGAAATAGGTAGCCTCCCTACTGTTATAAGGATATTTTTGAAAATATAGAAACGTACTTATGATGCGTTAAGCATTACTCAGATATATATTGTTTATTCTTTATTATTGAAATACATTGTATGCCATTTAAATTCGTTGTGAAGAATATATTTTCTGATCAAAGAAAAATGAAGTTTCATTTTAGTATTTTAAAGATACAAAAATTTATCAGCCAAATTCGAAAAACCAGTTTAAGCTATCATTTAACATATAAAACTTTCTTAATTTTTTTAATAACATTTCAGTTACATTTGAGTTACAGTTATAATTTTTCAGAAATTAAGTTTAATACCTTAGTTTTGTATAAATAAATTTAATAAATCACTAACCTTTCTTCACAAATGCACACAACACTCGAATTATATTTGTGATCAAAGTCCAAATACTTTCGATCGATTTCACTGCAAAACACAAAAGCAAAGTTCAAAAACGTTGAGAATCGGTTAACAAAATTTTGAAAACTTCTTGAATCGGTATTGAATATTGAATATTAACCGTTATTTTTGCTGACTGCACCGCTTTGAGACTGAAACGCAAGTGAAATCGGCAGCCAAGGAGACCGCGATTTATACGAGGCGAGGATACGAAAGATTTCAACGCGTTCAGGTGGGACCCGACGCCCGAGTGGAAATTCCGAAGTTTTCCCAACCGAAGTTCGCCGCCCACAATATCATGGTTGGTGCTTTTGGCCGATTTTGGTTTTGGGATTTTGCGCAGTCATGGGGAGTCATGATGGGTGCTGCTGGCCTACAGTTCGTATACGCAACACGTGGCAAAAGGGCAATGGGAATGGATTGAGTAAGATACGTCCTGTATCAGTAGTTTATTAATCATCTATTACGCAAAATTATCGAGCAATTTATCGAGCCATTTTCCATCGATCATCCTATCAGCATCGGAACTAATCAGCATCTGATTGTTTTCAATTAGTGGGCCAACTGTGAGGCAGCTGTCAGCCGTCAAATCCAATATAAATCCCCCCAATATACCAGATTATTAATACTGGCATTATCTCATAATTGGCATTACATCAGTTATCTAACCGCTCTACGGAACTGCTCTGACTAATCACATAGATTATCATCGAAAATTATTTGGTTATTTTTCGCATACTCAGAATTAGTCGACCATAAAAGCCAAATATCGTAATGATGAAATACCAAAACAGATAAGGTGGTTATATCATGGGCTATACCGGGACTGACTGATGTAATTGAAAGGTTACTGTTACTGTTAAAATTGGAATTACCCAAGATTTCTATAAATCAAACTCAAAACGTATTGGTGTAACCTTTTATTTTGGAAGAAGTTCGCATAGTTCGATTTCATTAACTTGGTTTTGTTAAAAAACAACCATGATTTCCTGAATGAACCATCGACATATTTAATTTGTTCTTTTGCCTTTGTTAATCCTTGCATTGACCCACATATTTTCAAAGCTTTGACTGATGCAAAATAATGTACAATAAAAAAAATGGTCAGAGGAAATGGGGAAAGGCCAAAGGCGTATGTAGGGAATCCTAACTGCCCATATCCGCATAGAAACATACATGTTTATCTGCACATACATTTATATACATATGCACATACCATATATGGATTTTATGGCAGCCACAGAAAACGCGACCAATGATAATTTGGACTGATAAAAGCTTTACAATGTTTTTTGTAGCTCCCGACGACGTGTCCGGCTTGGATTGTTTTTTTCTTTTGCTTTATTTATTTAGCAACGTGATTCTAATCTCTAGAGCCGCGACCTTGCCCACATAAAAAAGCTGAATGGATCTCAAATGGAATTGGACAAGACGGCTGTGAACTTGAGCATACAACTGTCAAAGTTCCTGCGAAGCGGATGAGGAGCAATCCATAAGACTAATTAGGAGGAATTATGCAAGCGACAGGCCACTTTTGGTCAACCCCTATATACCCAAAACCCTCCTCATACATAATTCGTTAAAGACATCAAAGAAATTGCATTTCGCTGTACTCCCACTGGATGTTTTGGAATTGAGATGCTTTATTAAAACATATATATATATATATAGAAAACCTTATAGAAAAAATACGCATGCATATAAATCAGTTCTTATGAAAATTGAAATTGACTTTGTTGTGTACACGTTGCAACTACCCGCTGAGCAAGGTCCGGGGGCATAATGCATATTTGGATTTTATGACCTCAAAGGATGCCACGAAGGGTTGTTGGCATCCACTTTGAGCTGCGATACGTCAACCGGGAATCTGAGCCATTTCCCGCGAACAAGCAATCTGGCAAAGGCATTCAAAATCGCCGACCATAAGGTCCACGCCTGATTTGACCATATGCATATATGATTTTATGTATGAATATTCATGCGTATCACTTGCAAACCATTACGTAATAAATGATTTTACAAATTATATTGTTTCAGCGATTTGCATATCATCGATTGTTGCAGAAACCCATTCATATGCAAATAACTTTAGTGGGTAAACCATTCAACATTTGTATTCAAGATATTGGTTTCTGTTTGTAGATTTTAAAATTTAATTTCATTTTGAATGCAACCATTAGAACTTTTTTATTATTATAAGCCTAACACTCACTTGAATGAATTTGAATTTACAAAACAACAAGTTATTATACTTGATCAGCGAATAGCTACGAGTTTACTGAATTAAAATTTTGAATTTTAAAATATTCATCATAATTTCCAACATATTTTTATTTAAGATAGAATAATTAATTGGAAATACAAATCAAAGGAATGTTACAAGCTGACTACTAAAATTCACATATATATCATAAGTTTTGCATATTTACTGACACTGACCCAGAAAAGTATTTTTAATTTGTTAAGCAATGCCAATGTTTTTTGTGTAATTATATACGAGTAAGTTTAAATTTACATCCTTAAATCAAACAAAAGCTGCATATCTGATTCATTGCATTGCTCTAGAATAGACTTTTATCTTTATTTTGGTGAATGACTGACACTGACCCGAACCAATACTTTCCTTAGTTTAAAAAGCCAATAATATTTCCATACTTAAAACACTCATTTATTACTTAAAACTGTTGTAAAAATTGCAAACGGAATTATAGCAAGATTAGTTTGCGTAGTAGAAATAAAACTAAAACTAACGAACTGCAATGGGGATATTCACTCATCATCCTCATCATCATCGTCCTCTTCCTCGTCATCATCTTCCTCATCGTCATCCTCGTCGTCATCATCGTCGTCATTTTCATCATCGTCATCTTCATCAGTATCGTCACCATCTTCGCCGCTTTCGCCGGCACTGTCCTCAGCCTCCTCGACTTCCTCCTCCTCATCGGATTCTGCCTCAGCCTTGGCGCCCTCGCTGCTCGAGTCCTTGCGTGCCTTTTTAGTCGGCACGGCAGTGTCCTCGCCATCGTTGTCCTTGGGAGCAGCATCAGCGGCAAGCAAAGCCGCCTTCTCTACGCGCAATTCGGCCTTGCGCTTGACCTGATCCCTGGTCAACTTTATGAAGTCAGCATCCTTGGTCAATGCAAATTTGGACAGCACCTCGTTGGCCTGCTTCTTAAGTTTAAGCATCCGCTGCTCCCGAGGACCCACCACATAGGGCGTATCCGCTGGTGGCGCACACATGCTGACATACAGCGGTAGGGCCGAAGTGCCCGCAATGTCGATCTTCAGATACATCGACCGAATGTTGGCCAGGCCACCGGGAAAGACTTGCTGGAGCTGCTTGCTCACCAGTAAAATGTTTTCAGCTAGCTGCTCAGCGCTGATCTCGTGATTGCCCACCGGAATGGCCGTCAGATCGCCCTTCGCCAACTGCCTAAATGCCGTACGGTTTAGAGCTCGTTTCACCTCCTGTGACAGCTGGTAGCCGACTTTGCTCAGGCGCACAGAATGGAGGACATTGCGCGCTTTTTGTGTGTTCTGCAAATGGAAATAAGACGTTATAGAAATGTAGGTAGGTATCCCAGTTTGTTCATGAATGCTGATTTAGATTAAGAACCCAAAGTACACGAATTTCCTTCCCTCTAAAAACCTTCTCGGTTCTATGAGGATTATCTTGTGACAAAAGAAGGGTACTCTGTGTTCCTGGAATGTACTCATTAGCAAAAGGATCAGGCGTTTCTCTTACCTTGCCCAAAAATGAGGTAGCATGACCCGAGATGCGACCGTCGCACAACAGGTAGTCGTAGCTGTTAAGGAACTTGCGCTTGGCCTCGAAAGAGCCCATTTCATTGCGCAGTTGGTTGAATGGGTAGATGGTAAAACGCTGCTGCACGGCGGCATCACGCAGCAGATCTTCGTAGTGCTGTTTGGTGGGATCAGATTCAAATTTGGCACCACGCTGCAAATCGGTCACAATGAGAGCCACATCGTCGTCGCTGCCCACCAGTGAGTGCTTTAGGTTCAACTTGACCATGCGTTTGGGACAGCTGGGTATCTTGTAGCTGCATACCTGCAGTATGTATCGGTAGTCGGTGAAAATTGAGGTAGCCTTCTTTTTGGCTACCTCCTCTGACACTAAAGACTTCAAAGCCTGGCAGACTTTCGTCACATTATTCTCACTGACTATTTCCTGGTACCTTTTTTCGTCGAACGATTTTAGTTCGAAGGTTAGCTCAACTTGCTTCTTGGGTTTGGCCGGCTCCTTTTTGGCCTTGCCTTTGACTTGACTAGGCTTGGACTTGTTGAGGGGCTTTTTAGATTTTGGCGCCTTCACGGGTTTGGAGAGCTTTTGCACCGACTTTGCCTTCTTTTGGAGCTGGGCAGCAGGCTGAGCCTTGGCAGTTTGAGGAACTTCCTTAGCGGGTTTTTGAGACTTTTTGGGTGCCTCAGTAACTGGCTTCTGGGATTTCTTTGCTTCAGGAACAGCTGTTACCGTCTTCTTGGTTCGAGGAGCAATCTTTTCTGTCTCGTTAGCTGGAGGAGCACCTTGTGCAGACTTTTTAGATGGAGTTTTCTTGGTTCCAGGTGCAGGCTCTGCAGTCTTCTTTGCTGGGGCAGATTCCTTAACAGATTTCTTGGCTGGAGCTGACTCTTTTTCAACGGGTGCAGGCTTAAGCTTTTTATCCTGCTTTTTTGGTGCCACTGGGGACTCTGGAGGAGCCAAAATCAGAGGCTTCTTGGCTGCAATCTTTTTTGTCGACACAGCTGGCTTTGCCTTAGGTTTCTTTTCTTTAGGAGCAACCGGCGACTCTGGTGGCGCTAAAATCAGGGGCCTCTTGGCCGCTTTTGGCTGCTTCTTCTCAGCCTCCTTTTTAACTACTTTTGGGTCTTTTTTGACGGCATCTTTTTTTTGCACAACCGCGTTTTTTTCCTTTTTGCTGCTAGTCGATTCAATGGCTTCGGCGGGTAGTTTTTTTGTCTTCTCTGGCTTGCCCTTTTTCTTGGCCACGCCTTCGATGCTGCTGCTCTTGTTAAGCGATTTAGGCTGCGGTTTCTGTACTTTAACCATCTTAACTTGGGCGTCTGATGCGTATTAACTCGGGCAGAAATATATTTTAAATGCAACACAACTACACGTGCTATGCTATAATATCGATATATCACGAATTCCGATTCAACTCTCGACGTCGGAATTTGTTTGAAACTATAAAATATCGATAACAAGACCCACTGCGGTGAGGATATTTGCTAAAGAGTAATAAATTCACCTTTTTGTTCGACTTGAGTCCCGACTTGAACAGTAAATCGTGGTGAAATAATGCGATTTAAAATATTAAACTATTTGTTACTGTATTTTTGTATTTAAAGAAAGTTAAGTAAAGTAAAAGTCAATAAAACGTATATTCATTTTACATTTTAAAACAAATTATTTTTTGTCCCACAAGACAACATTTAAAGCTAAAAATACCTTATTATATGAAATAAAATCATACAAATCCTCTCGATTATAATGCTGTTCCACTCCGAAATAACTTCTAAAATTGTTCAAACGGCTACTTGCAGTTTCCTTTAATTAAGATTCTATTTACATAGCAAACAGTTTATTTTAAGTAAATAATTCTAAAAATAGTCATATTCCGCACACTACACGCGTGCCTAATCGCATCACCAGGGCAATGAATGTCCTTGACTCACACACATAGCCACATGAAAATCGCCCACACAACACATATGCTTACGCAGGAGACTCGCACATGGAACATTAAAAGTTCGAGCGCATGGCATCTCCCATGGAGCCTCAAATTATGCACTGGCTACACTCGCAGGACCTGCCTAAGTTATTCTTGCAAATAGGAATCCTTTGTGGTTGTGTGTGTGCTAGTGGCCATTTTCTGGCACGTGACTGGAGACCAAAAAAATTGGCTGGCTGAAGGCAAATGGAGGAGTCTTAAAATGTTCATTTAAAGCTTCAGCTTCTTGGCATTTGCTTTAGATGGATCCTTTTTCGGTCGCTTGTTAGCATCTATGGACGCTGTGGTGTCCTGCAGTTTGTTAAAGAACGCCTTGGATGACTTCAGAGCTGGGAAAAAGAAATTTAAAATTTATTGTTTTCTCCTTGCGGTTGCATATTCAACTTAATTTATGATATATTCCTTGACGAATAAGTTGTGTTGAACTAAGCAAATCGAGTTTTTTAAAAATCATTGAAAGCTTAAAAATTACTTAAATTTTAAACAGCAATTATCTTAAAATGGGAAATCTGACTCGAAAACTTTATCAAGAGATTTTCTAACAGAATGCTAGTTTCCTTAATATATAAGTCTTTGCCGAACAAAGTATAAAAACAATACTTCAGTAACGATTGCAGTTACCTTTTGAACATTGCGGTTCTTGGTGATACTCATCAGCAGCTTGGCATCTGCCTCCTTCTTCGTGAAGTGGAAAAGTGGAGTCAAAGTCGAGGATCTCCTCACGGAGCGAATTCTGGGGTCGATTGGCTGCTTTGACCTCACCCTTCAGCTGCCATGGATTTTCGGCCAGTACAACAACTTCGTAGTCGCATATGCGTTGGAACAAACGTACTTCTCTCACTTCATTGGAAGATTGGGAGGGAGGTGGGGTCGGTTCTTGGTGATCTTCTTCCTTCTCTGAGTCTGTTTCTGAGTCGCTGGCGGGCTCTATCCCACTTTTTGCCACAAATTCTGATTCATCTATTTTACTGACTGCCTCATCCTGGTCCTTTTCAGGATCTGCTTTGTCTTTTCTTCGCCTTGACCAAACTCGTCTTCTTCTGGATTTTCAGTTCCTCATCCATATCGAAGAAATCTGCATAGTTGACATTGCCGTCCTTATCGTCTCCTAGGCCGAAATTCTCTGCATAGTGGTCTATATCATCCGTCTGCTCCACACGTCGCTTGCTGTTCAGCCGTCTCATTTCTTTGGCGTCCTCCTGCTCCAAAAAATCGTTTATCTCGTCTAACTTGAAGAAGGTATCGTCAACTATAGAGTTGCGCCCTCGTTTATTCTTTTTATCTTTTGGCGATGTGGTCTGCTTCTTTTCCCGCCTTCTTCGTCGCTGAATTCGGAATCCAGTTCTTTTTTTTATTAAGATACTTCCTTTCGTGTAGAGGAAATAATTTTTTGGATGCCCCGCTGGAACGGGTTAACGCCACCGCCAATGTATGAAATTAAATATTAAGAAAAACAAAATTTAATAGACAGCAATGTAAACAGTGGAGCTGTAAACAATTCGATCTCTAAATTGATTTAATCATTGATTACAGCTCTAGTCGTCACACGAATGGGAGTGAATTTCAATAACATGAAAACACTGGCAACATTCACAGATAACATTTTTCCGTCGATACGGCAAGGGGTGATTATGTGTAAATTTGCAACGCGCGCGACGGTAACACTAGAACGCGCGGTATCGATACTATCGCGATAGTAGTCCACCAAGCATCGATGTAGTTTTTACATCCCTATTCTGCAATATTATTTCACGGTACAGGTCTAAAACACAGAAAATAGGGCTTGGTTGGACCCGCACAAACAAAAGTAGAAACCATGGAAGTTGCCCCCGCACTGCCCACCAATTCCGTTGGTGATCAGGAAGCTCAGCAGACGCCGATTAGTCCGAAAACAAATCCAAACCAAGCGCCGGCCGCAAAGGCAGCAACAATCGAAAATGGTGTACAAACAGGAGGAGCGAAAAAGCCAGAGTGTTGCGGTGAGAAATTAGATTTGTTTGTCTAATTTAAACGGTTGCCTAATGTTTACATCTTACCTTTTTGAACCCCGTAGAATCGTCACATTCCGTTGCGTCACGCCAGAGTGACGAAAGAGACGAGGGCAGGCCCAAAACCGAGCTGACTGACAAAGTATTGATTACTATATGCAGCGCCGATCGCAAGATCAAAAAGACTTTCATGTCCTTGCCCACACGAAAGGATGTGATCGAAAAGGGTAAGAAATGCATGTCGAATTGGACAAGAATTTAATACTTAAACACTTTCGGATATGTAAAAAAGTACCTTAAGTCAGTTTTGTCCAGTTGGAATATATATGTAAACCAAAAAGTTTAATGCCAATATCTTTAATTGAAATCTATCTTCTCTGCTTCAATAGCCGATATTGTTGTTTTTATTTTATTTATTTAATAATATAATTTTCTTTTTACCTTGGTAGCCCAAAAATACGGTATGTGCGGCAGTACGATTGTCTTAGAAAGCAACGGTTGCGAGATATGTGAGGATGATGTACTCCTTTTCGCAGCCAAGGAGAAAATTCTACTGATGCTCCTCGCCGAGTCTGAGGAGTATGTGGTACTACCTCCACCATCGCCGCTCAATCGATCCGAACGCGCCGGAAGCTCTGTAGATCCTAGCTTTTATGCCAACAGCAGTATTGTGTCCAACCCAAATGATTCCACAGTTTCCAATGACGAGACCGTGTCGTTGTCCAGTGTAACTCCTTCAAGTGCAAAAAGCTCAGCGTTGTTTAAGGATTTCTTAATACCGTGGAATAGGGTGCCTGGGGACGTAATGAAGCTGCTAAAAGGAAAGGGTAGTTTGGGTAAACGCCTAAATACCCTGGCCAATATTTTAGTTGAGGCCCTCCGTGAGGTATCTGGTCACATCCCAAAACGAGTGTTCCGTCAGGTAGCACTGCAGGCTGCCGAAAAATATCCAGACTCCTTGCTTGAGAAGGATCGTGAGGGTCAGTTTATTGCCACCACGCCGCAGTCGCTTATCTCCAAGATGATTAACCGAAATAACACCCTCAACAAACCGCAAAAACGGGGAAGCTCGGGAACCTTTGAAATCCACATCTCGAACAAAAAACGAAAATTTGCTGGTGGTGCTTCTAACGGTGACGCCAAAGCACTTGCTCTAAATAAGGATCTGGAGCAGAAAAAGGAATATCTTATTTCTAGCTATCGTGGTAGTTCCCCCATGGAGCAGTCCATCGTTAGCGAATACATGAAAGAGTGTTTCCCGCTGCAGCGCTCATTCTTCAATAACAGCGAAAAGATCCCGGACATTACGGCCATCAAGGACAATTGGCCATATATTTTTGACAAGGATGTGCTGTACCAGCACTTCGAGCTCCTGATGTCCATAGATCCCCGGGCTTTGGAGAAACGCTTTGCTGGTGAAAAGGAGCGCTTTTTCAGGTTCTTCAAGAGTTCGAAGAACAAAAAAGATCAGCGCCCTGGAGGAGACTAACGCAAATTTGTTGCGTGGCATAGCGTATCATTTTAACGAGGATCCCGACTACATCTTTAAGCACCAGGAGATTAGTTCCCTCAGCAAGGAAGCGCTACAGTGCACGAATCCCACAAACGCCCCTTGGGTAGCTCTAGTCAGTAAGTATATTTAGAAGTAACAAAAACAATATCGAATTATTTTGGAGTATACTTTTCTATATAACAAACAAAAGCTCTAATAACAAGAATACAAAAACTCTCCTTCTCTTTCTATAGGTTCACCCATAACAACGGCTGATGGCGTGGAATCCCAGATGGAGGCGAAGGTCTACATCGAGGGTCAAATAATGGCAACGTTTGCCGCCAAAGACGACGACCTGCCGGATATTCTGGCCCAGTTGATCTGCTACTACTATACCTTCAACATGATGTACCCCAAGGAAGCCAATCAAACACTCGAATTTATCGTCGTTTACTTTCTGGAGCACTCTCCAGAGCAAGTGCGATCGTCAAAAAAATCGGTGACCAACAATGGCAAGTTTAACCAGCTCATCGCAAAGCTGAACAACGCCAATGGTTGAAGGTTCATCTGGATTTGCCTGAAACTATAGCGCCGTGGGCGTCTCGTTTATCTCCCCTTGATTCTCCTTCCAGAGGATACGAATTCTGTTTAGTTTATTTATTTTCGCCGACCTATTCCACATGTATTTGTACCACTACTTTTAAGATTTGCATAAAGTGTGAAGTAATGTTGTGTATACATTTCTGACTTGTCACCCGAGTAACTTTTTTTCACTTTTTCAAATTGGTTGTTTAGCTTTAAAATTTAAAATTTGTACTCTTACAATTTATTTTTTAACATTCCCTTTAATGACATTCAGTACTAGATGTGAATAAGTTTTGTTTACGCTTAACCTATTCTTATTCATTTATTATGCCCTTTTTTGAGAAACGGATTGTTCACATTCTGTCCCATTTTCTGCCATTTTCTGCCCTCCTTTAGCTCTTGATTTCTTTTTAAATCTTGTATGGCTGATTTAAGAGAGCTTCTGTTATTAGACATACTCAGGCCTTTCGTTAGTTTCTTCCGGTAAAAGTTGCGCTCTTGAAAAGGTAAACTTCTCAACGGCAGTGGGAAGTTCGCCGTCTTTTAAATTGCATTGCCACAAACGAGATTTTTCCTTCGATGGTTTAGCCTTTATTCTGGATTTTGTATTTTTGGAAGTAGATTGCTGCTCCTCGTCAAAGCTCTCCCACTTGGTGACTTCAGATCGGTTGGCTTCTATAATATTTCGTCGATGGTTTTGCTCCCGCTGCTGCATGAACTTCCTGGCCTCCTTGCTGTCTACACCTTGGTGTCCCCGATCCTCAGAATCATCAATCATGTCGTTCTTCACATGTTGCCAAGGTTTTGCGGTTGCCTGAGGCTCGGGCGGTACTTCTCGTTTCACATATTTCTGGGGCTTGAACTTGGTCTTTCCCCAGGTTTGGGTGATTTGAGCGAGTTTATTCTTATGCTTTCCAGTCTTAGGTGGTTTCATTTTTATTTTTGCTTTCCAACTTAAGTTCCATTGATACGCTTGACACAGCCTTAGAGGTGGCAGTTCCTGAGTGTGCTCAAACTATCGACAATAATATTTATTCACATAAGAATTTCTTCATTTATGCGTTAGTATTTTCTATTTTAGTGCATTTACATTAATCGATTACATAGATTCAGAAATACCCATTTTGTAAATGGGCAGGCATAATACACTTTTTGTTTAACTTTTTATGAAGTCTAGCTAGATCGATTTTTAGCGGATTTGACTTGAACGAACCGTGATAGTAACGCTATTGACTATCGCTTGTAATCGATAATAAAATAGGCTCAACACGTGCTCCGAGGCAGTCGGATTTATAAATAATATAAATTCCAGAATGCAGAACGGTGGAGGAAATTCCGGCTGGAACAATTCATCGCAGAACCGAAAACATTTTTTTACCGATGGGCACAGGAATCATCAGAGGCGCAGCGCCGGAGGAGGAAATCAAAACTACAATGGCCATTCAAATGGCAGTTTGCCCGACAGAGGACCTGCAGGTGGATGTGGTCAGAATGGTAACGCTTTCAACAAGTTCAGAGATCCTCAACAGCAGCCGAATGTACAGCAGTTAAACCAGAGGGGCGGCAGACGAAATAGAGGTGGTGGTGGTTGCGGTGAAGGTGGTGGAGGAGGGAGGAGAAGAGGACAACGTCCTAGGGACTCTAACAAGCGCGGTGGCCGCAACAACTCTTGGCATGGAAAAAATCAGAATGCAAGCCCCGATAAAAGTCACATGCTATACTATGACAACGTAGGCAACTTTACCGAGGATCCACCTTTACCTGCTCATTCCCCGGCCCCCTCGTCTTTTAGGCAAGAGAGTCTTCAACCTGCCACCGTCACTGCTGCCGTGGAGTCTCCACCTGTTCCTGAACCTATTATACCTGTCCCGGCAGAAACACCAACTCTATCTCTTATAAGCATCAAGAAAGAGAAAGAGTTAATGAATCCAAAGTCAGATCCGAAACCAGTGGTTAAACCGGAACCCAAATCTCCTAAAAAGAAGGACAGGGATAGCTCCTCCAGTTCATCGAGCAGCTCGGATGAGGAGTCCGAGCCTGAACCAGGCGAAATGGTAGGCAGCGCACCACCCGCCAATGTAACACTCCCGCCAACAATAAAGGCCAACAAGGCGGCTGGTGTACTTTCGGCAAAATCGAAGGCGTCATCCTCTGACTCCGATTCTGATGTCGAACACAATCGATCACCGGTGAAAAAGGGGAAGGAAAAGGAGACGGAGGAAGATGTGGTTTGCATGGGCTCTCAGGAACGTCAGTTTACCATTACGGATGAAGAGGAGAGTAGCGATCTGGAAGAGAAAGCCGAAAAAAAGTCAAAAAAAGGAAAAGGCAGGCTGAAAACAGTCGATGTGATATGTGGCATCTGCGGAAAGAAGGCATGTATATAAGACCTTAGTATTCAAATATAACAAAATTGCATTTTCAGGCCCACACGTCCTTTCAGTGCCAGATGATTTGCCGCAATTGTTCAGGTAGGTTTCATGGCCTCAAGAACTGCCCGAATCCGCCAAACTTGAACATTGCCATGCAGTCCTTCATGGAGTTTGTCATGCACCAGATGACCGCCTTTTATGGAGAACAGCGATTTACTTTTCCCGCTGGCACTGTCCCGGCTCCAGTTTCTGTGGTAGTTCCAGCTAAGGCCAAAAAGGACCAAAAGTCGGCGAACAAAAAAGCCAAGAAGACTCCAACAAAAAGGATGAAGGTTGAGCCGAGAGATGAAGACGAGGACGAAGATGATGATGATGCCACCGAGGCCAGCAGCGAGAGCGAGGAGTCTGAGTCCAGTGATGAGCCGCAGCCAGAACCAGCATTTAAGGTAAAACGGAAACGCGGCTCAAAGTCTTCATCATCTGTCGCAGCTGCTCTTCCTCCTCAAGTGTTTCCATTCTCCCTCCTTGGTGCTCCTGGTGCCCCTTACAACTCTATGATGTATCCCTATGGGGCGCCATTTAGTTTTTCTAAATAGTTATTACCTAAGCTAGTTGTAAATCAAAGTACAAGCATAATGTTGCCATTAAAATGTGCTACTCAAATTACAGTTAAAAAGCCGAATTGCTAAGTTTCCTATGTTGTTTTTCAATAGAATTGCAAATATTATATTTTTCGCGACAACATTTCTAGGCTTTCTAATATCCTGACTAAATTTCTTTGGAGGCAACACCGATGTTCATTATCGGCTTCCATTTCTTACGTGAACCGCGAACCCACTCCGACGGTGGGGTGGATAACCAAATGGAGATTTATAGTCTTAGACATTCTAATCCTCTAGTTTGTACCACATTTGTATTAAATTTCAGTCTGTATAATGAAGACCTCTGGGGTCTTTCTGTAAGCTTTTTTAAAACGAATGGAAAATTTCACAAATAAAGAAGATTTATTTTTGCATTGGCGGCAATCGATTGTCCTAAGTCTATCGCCAGGAACAGCTGTTCTGCTGCGGGGCACAATCGATAGGTAAATTATTTCTGTTGCTTCCACGCTTTTGGATTAAAATTCATTTTACTAGTATTTACGAGTTTAATTCACACAAAAACGGCCAAATTATACAAATTGATAGATACCAACACTTGCCAAGGTAAGTGTTTTAACCAATATATTTATTATATTGTCTAAAGACATCACGGAATCATTCATGATTTTACTGAAGTACCGTAGAGTTAACATGTTAAACAGGTGTTTACATATATGAACTTATAAAACTAAACATATTATTGAACAATATACGCGTTTATTAATCACAAACAATTGCAACAAAATCGAGTGAAACTGTACGTAAATTTAGGACATCTTTATACATAGAAATTAAATGTTTCTTTGACTAATACATGCAATTTATAAGAATTATTCTGCTAGGGAATGAAAAACCAGCGTGTGGAAACCAATCTTTATCGCCCAACTCTCCATATCAGGCTTTTAGGGTATGCATAGAGCCAAGGTCTCCCGTTCTCTCTCGGTGCCGCAGGAAACGGGGTGATTCTGACCCCTGGGATCAATTCCTGGCTTGAGCATGGTCTGCTGCAGCTCCCAGATAATCTCGCAGGACAGAACGCTTACAGCCAACTTAAGTACCGACTGGTAGTTAAGAGGGTTAACCGCATAGCTAAGGATGCCCCTGGCAATCTGCTCGAAAAGGTAGTTCCTGTCCAGCAGCAGGAGTTCTTCACGTAATTCCATCATGCGATTCTCGAAGTGACACTGTATGGCCGCAAATACCAACTTGTCCAGGCCTACCAGTAGGTCCCGCTTGAACTTCACTAGGTAGTGTTCTATAAACACGATCTGGTTGCGATTCAAGTGCGGTAGGCGCACCTTGTCTTGGATCACTTGCTCTCCTATCTGGCTTACCACCAACGAGGCTAAAGATCCCGCCGGCGTGGGCCGTCGCTCGCCGCACGGACGGATGTCAACGAACGGATGAATCTCGTAGCTGCCCACGCCAATAGTGCTCGCCACGCCGCTAAAGGAGACATGAGAGGCCCGAGAGTGATTCTTTGGCGGTTTGGCCAACGACGGCGGCACTTCCATGGCCTTGTGGTCCCTGGCGAATCCGATGATCTGATAGGCTTTCTGAAATTACAGAAAATAAGCGATGGTCTTAAATGAACTAGTGAAGGTCCACTACTCACATAGTGCACATATTTTTTGGCATCGCATACAAAGTCTTTGATTCGTGAGATCAGTACCTGTAAGGCACACTCGTCGTCGCTGAGGTCCTCGTTTAATCCAGATATAATGTAGTCTCGTATATATTGCGCCGCCTTATAGATAGGGTCATCTGGGGCAAAGGTAAGAGCGGTCTGTCCCTCCATGGCAATAGCAGCATTCAAAGCGTAACAAAGCTCACTGTCCAGCAAACCTTCGAAAGTGGTCTGATACTCATCGCAAAAGGATGGTTTCCGCTCTTGGAGTTCCGGCTTCTTTTTCTTCTTACGTCGCTTTCTCTTGGGCTGGCGAGCAACGATGGCTTTTTGAGCTCTCTCCTTAATCTCATCCTGAATTCGCTGCCACTTTTCTCGGTAGAGAGCTTTGTGTCTATCTATGAACGCCTCTCGCTCCTTCTCCACTTCTTGTAAGAGGTAGTTGATTCTTCGCTGATTTGCAATGCGCTCATCCAATCTCTTCCCCCACGATTGAATCTGGTGCTCTGTGTTCTTAACCAGCCTTTGTTTCCGCAGGATTCGCATGTTCTTGTTAAACCGATCCTTTTTGAACTGAAAGAGCTTCTTCTGCTTGATTAAAAGCTTTCTCATCAGATCCTGACACATGCTTATATGGGCAGCTACTCGCATATTGGTAAGCATCTTGCGGTGTTCCAGCAACATATTCTGCATTGTGGCCAAGTTCTCCAAGCGCTTAAACTTTTCATAAGTGATGTTCAGCAAGTGCACCTTCCTTTCGTGGCGTTCCTGCTCCTGTAGCTGCTTCCGTGCAAGAACCTCCTCAGTGCACTGGTGCCGAGCTGCCAAATTCTGATGATCCTTCTTTGTAATTGACTCCGCATTAGCAATCAGCATCCTATCATATTGCTCCGACTCCCTTCGCTTGTATGCCTGTAAAATATAGTAGAGCTGCGATTTGTGCAACTCCTGGCGATGGTGGTTGAAGTCTTTCAGGTTACAAATTACATCATTGTCCTGCGTTATCTCTCCGTTCTCCCGCAAGCGTTTCAGGTTACGCTCGTTAGAGTAAAAGGTCTTTAGATTCGAGTCGTGGAGCGGATTATACTCTGGAATGTGCTCGGTAACAGAGCATTCGAACTCCTGTTTACCACTTTTGAACTGGGTGAAATACCAAATGTAATTTATATAGATATGGTATCCGGAAAATGTAGTATTTTTCTAACTTTGGACTAATTAGTTTTCTGTAGGTAAGACTTACATCCTGTCCGATCTTGTTCTTCGAGAATATGACCTGGTTCCCGGGGCATTTAAGCATAGGCAGCTTACAGTTGAGTGGAATCAGCTCCCATCCCGGCAGACTGTTGATAGGCAGTCCGGTTTTAAATGAAATCATCTTCAAAAGGGCCGGATTCCCGGACACCTTATTCCGGCGCGGCAGCGACAAAATATCGATCATCTTGTCGCTTTTAATTTTCCAGACCCTAAATTAATCGTATATAAAATATACATTTATCTTCTGAGCGTTTTATGAAAACTAGTTTCCAGCTAGGAACATATTCAAAACTATAAACTAACAGCCTACTATTGAAATATTTCGTTGTTATAGCCAGACTTTGGGAATTCATTTATATTTTCAGCGCATAGATATTGAAATTATTTGTCCATTTGCAGTAAAGTTCAGAAATCGCTCGTGTCATCAGTTTTGCTTGAGAAGATTCCCGGCGATTTGTCTGCGGCTTACATAAATCCTCGGTTGACTTTCCGTCTCCACCTTTCGCCGTCTCCGTCTGGGGTTATGTATCACTCGCTGCCTTTGGCGGTGACCTCGTTTCTCGTCTATAGGCGACTCTAGATTGCCGGCATCTCGAGCATAAATATTTGCCAATCGTTTGGTCAGGCGTCAGAATGTCTGGATGTCCACCCACTCTCGCCCGCTGTTGTGTATTCCATGTAAATAAAATCACATCTAGTGCTTAAATGTACTTGCTGCAGCACGTGTTCCAAATATGCTCTCGAGTATGCTTTCCATTTCATCTAACATCGAAGGCAGCCCCTCTTGCTTTGTGGTCCCCCGTCTTTGGCATGAATAAAAAATGATGCTGGTATCCCAAAAAGGAAAACACACGACTGGAAAACGAAAGGTGCGTGCCAATCTCAGATGCCTTTTAGGCACTCCTATCCCTTCAAAATTATATAATACCTTACTTATTTGGTAACAAAAGATGGTAGTACTACACTATTGGAAATAAAGAGCGAGGTGTATTTTAATTATAGTTATATTCTTAATTTTTTGAAAAATAATAAATCGATTTTCATATTAATCCGTCTTATTAGGTATTATAGATAAGTTGTGATTTAAGACAAGTTGGGTTTTGAATTATGAAATACGATTAATTTAAATTCAAAGAAACTTTTTTTTTATAAATTCGCATCCTAACCGATCACGGACATTTCCTTTATATTTAGCCACCACCAAAAACGCAGAAGATAATTCTCCGTTATAAGTGGAGGATGGCCGAACCTCCCCCGCATTTGCTGTCAGTGGCGTACGCATGTCACGTCGAGAGGGTTGCGCAAGAAACTGAAATCAATTAGAAAATGTATTGTTCCGTCATGTTTAGATTATTTGACGGTCAAAAAATTGATAATATTTGTTAAACTTAAAACTACCACGAGTATTACTATAACCCACCTAGTCTCTAACCCCTATTCGAAGGCCAAACTTATTCCTTTCTGGTGTCTACCAGTATCGCTTCAAGCGTACGCTGCTCTCTATTTCTTTGGGAGCACTAGAAATTGACAAACGGTTACTTTCAACCGGGAAGCTTTCGGCTTTCAATCAGCTGCAGGTACTCATTCAATTACTTTCAATAGGAGAGGCTTTCTCTCACAGTCTCTCATATGGCTTTTGAGAGCGACTTCGAACCACAAGAGAGAACTTTAACGTGGAACACTAGTAAACATCGTTATAGCTTATTAATTTTTGTAGTCAAAGTTGAAGAGAGTAAATAAAATAAACTAAATTTTTAAAACTCACATGACATAAGAGAAGATTAAAATTATTAAAACTAAAAAATAGCTGTGATTGCAACACATTATTTTTTAAAGTGTAGCAAAAGTTTTCGTTTCAATTGAGCGCTGCGAGCTTCCAAGTTGGTTACTCTGTGTGGAGTTGGTTCGTTTGGTCGCGTCGGTTGAAGGAGTCGGTTGTTCGTTTTGATGCGCTTAAGTAACGGTAAACGCGGACGCCATCGCCTGATTTACTGTTATTTTCACTCGGGACGTGCACCTCTGTTTATGTGTGTTGGAGATTGCCTGTATCCGTGTATGTGTGGGAGGAAAACAAATAGCAATACGAAAAAGAAAATAATAGAGCAGGAATTCCGCAAAAAAAGGGGGTGGCGACCATCCTACTTTTCTGCGCCCGATGCCACAGTAACCACCCCCTAAAAATAACAAAAACAAGGACTGGAGAATAAAAGAGGAAAATAAAAAATACATTCACATATGAACCGTTAACTGCGCCATTCACAATTCGCAACAACAAATTGAAAATAGCCAAAGCAAAACAGTTGAATTGTATGTGTATGAGAAAGAGCACAAAATCAACAAAAAAATATTAAAAAAAAAATGAGTTGGTGAAAAAAATGTTGGTGATTTTCAAAGAGAAAGCCAGTCAAAGGTTGTTGTAATAAAAGCCAGCCGAAATGAAGGAGTGGAAAATAGTAGAGGACATCAAGAGTATAACAACAAAATATTTAATTGATCCCTTAAGATAACAAAAAAAACCGTTGAATACCAAAAAAATAACATTTTCAAGGATATTCTTTACATATAATCCAAGTGAAGTGAAAAGTAATAGTTTGTCAAAAATAAAAGCTTGCGAACTCATTGAAACTGCAGTCGAACTCTTTAAACTAATAAGCTAGTGTTACCAAAAGTTGACAAATTAAACAATCGAATCATGGCTAAAAACCGCTTGGGAATCATATGAAGCCTTTCCGCCGCTGGATTGCATAATCCGTCGAGGGCGTGGCTTAGTATCAAATGTAATGTACAGCTGTCAAACAGGACCTTTCATCATTCACACATCATCATCATTATCACCCAAACCATTTTCCCCAGACTCAACGACACAATGTCCACAACAGCAGCTGGGCTAAATCCGGGACCCAAAGGAGCCAACGGAGTCAGGACAGAGACGGATCATATCATACTCATCAGCACTGCCAGCCTGACGGAGTCGCACAGTGAGGAGCCCGTAAAGGGAGTACCAACATCGGCCAGTACACCCCAGTCCCCGAGACGTGGAATCCCTCAAGAAACAACAACCTCTGGTGACCAGATTGAGCCAAAGAAAAGTTCCATCCACTTATGCTGGATATCGCAGCTGGTAAGCTACCAGAATAACATTGCCGATGTTCAGCATCGAAAAGGAAGACGTCTTCACGGACTGCAGCTGCCACTTCATCCTCTTCAGCTTTTTGGCTGGCTGGTGCTCCTTCTATTTGGAGTGGCCAGTTATTGGGTGCTAATTCCAGCGTTTCATTCTCGGATCCAAGGGCCTCTGTACGGACTGATTACAGGCCTTTACCTGGTCCACATAGTCTCCCACTTGACCGCTTTGCTAACGGATCCAGCGGACAAGGAGTTGCGACGAGTGCATCGCAACGACCGAATCGTCCCGGAATTTGACAGGACAAGGCACAGTCACGTGATCGAAAACGGCCGGTGTCATTTGTGCAACATCCGGACCTCCTCCTCCCGCACCAAACATTGCTCTGTGTGCAACAAGTGCGTTGGAAAGTTCGATCACCACTGCAAGTGGCTAAACCACTGTATTGGATCGCGCAACTATGTGGCCTTCTTGATGTGCGTGGTCAGCGCAGTGGTGGCCACCCTGGTCATCGTGGCCGCCGTGGTGGCCCAGATTGCCTTCTACTACGTCCAGCCAGAGTGGTTGAGCTTTTACTGGTGTCCTACGGAGTCGATCCGCCCCATGGAGGGCCATGACTACATAAACATCACCCTTAGCTTAGCCAATGGCACCATGATGATAATCGAGCAGCAACCAGCGGAGGAGGTAGAGCGTCAAGAAGAACTGGACGAAGAGCTGGCAAATATGACTATATCCACACTACCTACTCTCTTGGAGAACTTTACAGCCCTGATTGAAGGTAGTACAATGCAGCCTGGGATTAGCCTTACTAATCACACCGCCATGACGCCTGCCGTAGGCGGCATCGGATTTAACGAGACAATTTTCCTGTTTCTTTTGGGAGTCTTGGGACTGCTCGCCGCCGTGAGTGCAGGCTTGCTACTCCACCTGTGCTTCTTTCACATATATATCTCCTTTTTGGGACTGACCACCTATGAGTACATCAGAAACCATCGGCAGGCTCAGGAGGCCAAGAACAAGCAGCTCCTCGAGGGAGCTTCCAGTGTGGGACCGGCCAAAAATGGTAACGTTCACTTCTCGGCTTCTGCGACCGAGCCACACAATCCGTCCAAGTCGATGACAGGGGGTCGGCAACTCTACTGCTGCTCCAGTGCACCACATCCCAGCCAACAGTCACAGGAAGTGGTGGGTCAGACAGAGCAATCTCTTCGGTTGCATTGTTGTGCCAGCTCCAGAGAGTTTTACCAGAGCAGGCAGTCCATCTACATGTGCTCCCTGCTGGAGGAGAAAACACCGCAAATTCAAGTGGAACAGGATTCGCTCAGTAGCTTCCATTGTTGTTCCAGCTATGCAGCTAGTTCCTTACAGCGCAGGGTCAGCTTGGCTAAAGGCTCTCTGATCTCGGCAGAACCGCGTCCCCAGAGACCAGCCACTTATCTGCAGTACACCGAACAGTGTGCCATCTGCACTTTCCGACTGAGAAGAGGATCCCGGTCGGGAGCGGGATCCTCGGGAGCTGTGAGCAGCGCTGGAGGAAGTAGCAGCACTCGCACCTTAACCAGTCAAACCGGGGGCTCCTCCTCCTCGGCAACGACAGCTGGGAATATTTCCAAGCCCCAGCGTTGGCGAAGGAAGTGGAACTGTTGCGCCTCAGTCCCAGATAGCCCCGATGTGCCCAATGATCTCCTTGTGGCATTAGCGTTTCGCGAACATGAAGAAGCAACAGCCGCGGCCAAACTTAATGCCCAAGAGCTGCCCATTCAGTTTATACGTACCCTGAACGGCGGCCTGGAACAGGATCTCCCTCTGAAAACAACAACTGCTACTCCCACGCCACCTAGAAGCTCTCGACTTCGACACATGCTGCGTTTGCTGGGACGGTATCGGAGATCACGCTGTCGCCATGCCCATCATGGAATCGCAGCCAAAGACCATCAGAACCATGGTGGCTCTGGCATAAAGCAGAATCAGATTCGTCCACTGCAAGTGCAGGCAGCTGGGCGTGGCTATGCCAACTCCACAGCCACTCCTACTCCGCCGGCAAGCTCCCCGAGTAGAAGTTCCTTGGATAGCAGCGAACTGAGCACTAGCACGAGTCCATCTTGCGGCAAAAAGGAGCTAATGCTGCTGCCCACATCAGTGATAAGGGACGACAGCGTGACTACCTATACGCTGACCTTGCCGCCCGCCCTACCTCCTCCGACGAGGAGGAAAATGAACCAAACTACTCAGGAGCTGGCGGAATTGGCTGAGACCCTGGGATTTTCCAGCAATCCGCATCACAATCAGCAATTCAGCCAGACAAACAGCAGAACGTTGCCCAGTTTGGGAAATGTTTATCGCCGGCAGAGGCGTAAGCACTTTTTGCGGACCCGATCGCCGACACTGTCGCCCATCCACGAGTCCGGCCTTTCGAATCCAACATCGCCGCAGCCCTTGAGACACCACCACCAGAACCTAGCCAACTCGAACTCCAATCCGGCCAAAGCTACATCCTCGCCTCTGCTTAACCGCAACTCAGGACCTGGAAACTCCTCAGTTCTCTTGGTTCAGAATCTGTGCAGCTTGGCAGGAGAAACGCTTAGGAAAACCGCATCCAACAGCTCGTTGCAGAGCCTCAGCTCCAATTCGAGCAGCACCTAGAAATTAGTTTACTGATGGTTTCTGTGTAGTCCTTAGGTTAGTTTTAGCCTTAGCCGTAGTCCAACGCATCCCAGCCAACATTGTTGCAGTCCGGTAAACCAATTAATCCGCAGATAAGCATTAAAGGTCATAATTTAAATCAAAATGGCACTTGAAAAAGTGGGAGTGAATTGGGTGGTGAGCTGCCAGAGCCAGTGAAAGATATTCCCTTCGATGCGATACGGTTTTTGGCAAAAGTCAATTACCGCTTTTGATCGGGTCATTATTTAAAATTTTGGGTAGTAGAAAAGTCGGTCATGGAAAGGTAACATGAAGATGGTGGAATAGACTTGATTTAATGCAGTTTTGTTTTACTTTGTTTTTTTATTCTTGATATCTTTCAAATTCTAGTAACAAGGAAATCCCGTCGTTCTATCTGAAGCTCTTTAGTTGACATCGTTAGTTTTTAGCTGCAGTGAGCTGTTTCCTTTATTTGGCATCTTTTGTATGACTTTGCAGTTGAATTGATAAAATAAGCAACAGCATGTGCTGAACAGCTGGAGTGACTTTTCCCCAAAGCTTACCAGTTTTTCCCGCTCCCACCCCTTTGCTGGTATTGATTTTCAGTTTGGAAAATGTGTAAGCAAAGGCGTCGTGTGATTACGTATTGTATCTGCAGCTGAAGATTTGTCTGTATCTGAATCCCTGTAGCCGTGTATTTGGCGTCATCCAGCAGCCAAAAAGGACAGAAAATGACGAGGACACAACTGCAGCATGCTGCCAAATGGTTACGCAAATGTTTTCCTTCGATTTAAATTCAAATGTTCAAATGCAGGGGTAAGCCCTGCCAACTGCCGATGGCAATTGTCATGGGCCCTAAACTTGATGTTGACGACTGCCTCTGGACCCATTAAGTATGCCCAAACTGAATAATTAAGGCGACACAAGTCAGGAAAACACGGCCTCTACAACAGAGAAAGGGAAATGCGTCAAACGCGGGTTTGTTTTGAGTTCACCTTCTGCCGCTCATCCTCGCCAGTTCACAGTCGGGCAGTCATCGAGGCTAAAAAGCACTGATTCGTATATGGATAGACAGCCATAACGACTACGCACATGACACTCCGGGTTTCAGGAGGTGGTGTTGCTTTCTATCACCCCCCGAAAGGCGGTCGTTCTTGTTATTGAAACTGACAGCAAAGTGACGAAGTGAGAGTGGGTAGCTGGAAAAAGATTCGCTAGAGGCAGGAGGTTGAGTGTGATTAGTTCTTCTCTTATTGACCATTCTAAATCAATTTATGTTAACCCCAACCCGTTATTCCATTAATTTAATAGAAAATCCCTTTGAGCCGATAATAGGTAAACATTAAAAATCTTCATATGTCGAGTATGGTGATTCAGTAATACTTTTCATAGTCTTTCTGCTGGCTTTCCTATTAATTAACTTCACTTATAGGGCATTTCACTAGTATTTAGATCACCCTGTCGGCAAATTGAGACCAAAATAAATGGCAAGTTAATTATAGAGACCCCATTCTTAGCCACACACGCAAATGAACTCGACTTGCCTGCACATATTTTTGCCTCACGGAGATCCCAATACATGGATACGGCTTTAGAGCAGGGAACAAGCGGGCGGGAACTGTCATTGAATCGGTAGATATCAAAAAAGACACGACTTCCGGCGGTCTGACATGCATTTTTGCAGTTTTGCAGGTTGCTTCGGTTCGAGCTCAGTTCGTTCTCAGTGACAAGAGACAGACGACTGGTAAATGAATGAAAATACCATAACGCAACAACTATAAATGGATTTTCAATGCAGACTTCGCTGCTCTGACAGCTGGAGCAACAATTTTCCTGCCTTATTTTCTTTTTTCACTTCCGCAAGCAAAACACGCTGCATACTTCTAAGGGAGCTTCTGTGGTTCCGTATCTGTGTTTGTTGGTGTGAAGGTGTTAGTGCTCGTGAGTGTGAAATTTTTAGTTCTTTCTGAAGATTTCCCATCAGCTTCAACTCAATTAGATAATAAAATCCTTCCCTCCAGAAAATAAAAACTAAATTAAAGTTCGTTTCTAGCATTTTGTTACTTTCTATTCAGTATTTTACTCTTTTGCCGAGCTGCCCCTTATTCATAATGAATATATCCATACGGTTGCCTGACCACACAGTCGCACTTCAGAAGGAGACACCTGGAGGATATCTGTAGATCTGCGGAATGAATGTTTTTCTACGGAGGGGACACTACAAGATAAAATCAACTGAAATGGCGGATGTGTGCTTGCGTATTTATTTGTATAAAATATATTCGACTTTAATTGCATGTTCGTGTCATGTCCTCCTGCTTCTGGCCTATGACCACGCCCCCAAGAATGGATAGGAAAAACTGCCAGGCAACGCCCTCGAATTTCCAGTTCGACTCCCGCCTGCGGAGTTTGTTTACGAGACATAAAGCAGACATATTCCGTGAAAAAGAGGGGGCGAGTGTCGGGGAACTGGGGCTTCTCCCACTTGACTGACTTTCCCTATGGCAACAAATGCAACACTCTTTTTGCTTCTGTTGTCGTTGTTGTCCTGGTTATGGCCGTGCATCAATTATAAAACATTTTCTTGTTGCCGTTTCAATACTTCTGTGGCATGCAAGCCCATATTGTTCTGCATTTATAGCTGAAAGGTGGAGAAACACTGGAATTAAAAATTTATAAAAATTATAACCTTGTTTAGTTTAAAGTTATTATTTTAACGTGAATACCATTCTATTTCGTACACCCCATTGTAACCGTGTAAAATCAAAATTATCTTGGAAAATTTGTTTAATTTTTCAGGTTGCCCTGGGGGAAACGTTACTAACTACATTTATATGCAAACGAATCAAGATTGATTGGGCCTGAATTGGGTGCGATGTCTCATCAGTCCAGATTGTTGCTTTCGCCTCCACCTGCTCCACTCCCTTTCCGGGCTGTTGTTACAAATGGAAGTTAACTTACCTCTAAGTCTCCCACCCCAACTGGCCTAACCCACTCCTTTTGTTTAGCCCTGCGCCCTGCAATGACATTCTCAGTTGCTTTTCTTTCCATTTTCGTTGGTTCAACGAACTTCTGACTCTCGAGTCTTTTGTTGAATTCTCAGTCAGGTGGAATATTCAGGAAAGACAGACATAGGTGAATCCGAACGTCTACCCCCCTACCCCCTAATATGCTTTTCAATTTAGTTAATGACTTTTCTGATAGACCCTTGAACCGATTTGTGGGTAGGCTCTCTGGTGTTACAAAAATTTAGAGAGAAAATATTAACAAAGCGTATGAGACTGGAAACGTGGGGGTATAAAATTCAAATAAGAATGTAGAAAAGCAAAAGAAAGATTGAAAAAGAAAACAATAATTATTAATTTAGCCCAGCCAATTAAGTGTGAAACCAATGTCATGACTAGACAACAATAAAAAATCTATTTTGATAAAATGTGCAGTTCGTAAGGCCTTTATAAGCAAAATGAATAAAGATATTTAAAATAAAAATAAATGGAAAGCCCAAATAAGTGTGCTATAGTAACGTGTTGAGAACAGACAACTTGGGGCTATGCTTTGTACCATTAATATACTAACAAAAGAAAGTTGCTTTAAGCTAAACAATTTAATATTGATTTTAGTTTCGTTTGATATTTTTGCTAGTATTATATGTACTCCGCCCCCTAGAAGTTAAGTGACTTGTGAATCGCTCTCATGACAACGACAGAAAAGTGAAATAAAAAGCCAAAGAAAAAACAACAAGTGGCAGCTAAAAGCTGACTATTAAATTATTATTGCACTCCTGGTAGCAAGTGGAGTCATCATTGGGGTTGGGGGTCATCATTGCCGATTACCATTACTCAGACGTCAGCTCTGACCCCTTTTATTGGCATTTTAAATATTTAGCAGGAGAGCTAAATGCGAAATAGGTTTGTGAGGCTCTTATGGGGCGTTGGTGAACTTCCCCGGACGTGTTGACAATTTCATTGTGTCCTGCGGCTTCATTTCCAGAATGTTTTTCACGTTGCAGCTTTTGTGGTCGAGTTACCGCGTTCGTTTATTGAGAGACTATGCGAGACACTTCTCACCTGGATTTATCATCAGCTGCCAGCGAGCTCGCCTTGGACGCTGCGTATACGCAACGTTACGTTGGGCTTATGGGGATCTTGTAAAATCCTCATAATCGATAACCAAAGTGTGTCTGATCGATAATTCATCAAGACTCTGAGTGTCTCTGCATTGATGAAACATCGATGAATTTGGGCAAAGGTTAAAGTTTTATATTTTCCCCTTTATTGTTTTTTTCTTTCGGCATGTTGTTTTTATTACTTATGCAAATACTAGCACGTAAATTAACAAAGTAAATTGCTGTTGGTATTTTATGTTTCCTGCTCGCCTCCTGTGTCATGTGTTTGCCTCGGCAAAACAAATCACACGCATGACACACGCACACTCACGCACTGCCATACACACAGAGGCAGAGCCTTTCGCGTTGACAATAAAACGTTGGGGATTTATGGTGCGTGTCATTTGCCTTATTTGTCTGCTCCTCACTTTGCAACAGATAAACACAAGGAGTTCTCGTATGTATTAGTTAGTGCTCGCGGATGTATCTTTGGGGAAGTATCTAAGCACTTGTCTCGGTCATGGTGTCTAGTAACACAAGTTGCATAAAAATATTCAAATACATATAATACACTTATATATAAAACATTAAGGTCTGTAGCCCCATTTGTAGCTCAACCAAAGATGTAGATTTACATAATAGAACATATACAAATGAGATTCATTACTTGGAAGTCCAATTTCAATTGAGCAGCAAGCGGGAAAACGCCCAGCCGAAGACGCCAAATTGTCGCCACATCTGAAGATTTTGCCTCTCCCTTATTTAAGGGTAAGCTACCACCATAATGTCCTTGAAATGGATATAATGCGGGCTTGTTACCCACTTCGGCCTTTTATTATGGTTTATTACGTCAGCAAATGGTTGTACTCACGGCTCGATGCTCAAGGACCAGGAACCTGTACTTGAAAGCAATTGAACTTGCATAGGAATACCTACTAAGAGATTTATTTTTCCATTTGATAAACTATCCTTTGACAACCGGTCAACCGTCTGTTGAGAAATAAGTTGTGCGGCGCTTTAAATGTAAAGTGGGAAAACGGAAAACCTATGTACTCGTACGTTCACAGTTATGACTGACCAACAACTACATTAATAAAGTGGCGGAAATGAAGTAACCAAATCAAACACCGAATAGAATCAAAGCTGTTAAGCAAATCAATCGATTTGCGAGTTAATTGATCTGACAGGTACCAAACTCTTTCTTTTATTACTGAGAGGAAGTCAATAAAAGTGAGTGCCTGCTTGATTTAAGTCTTTCTGAAACAAATGAATAGGTTAATGTATTTAAACACTTGAGTAGGTTGATAGCAAAAGGACGCCACTTTTGGCACAATAAAGCAACAATTTCATTTTTTTATTTGTTTTCCATGGCTATTTTCGTATTGTAGTTGTTGTTTGTGGCTGCACGCAAAGAAAGTTTTCATTTTTCAATTTGATTGCCATCACGCCATGGGCAGTACTTGCGTGTTATGCGGGGTGGGGTTTTCCAGGTGGTGCGGTGGAAAGGGGGTGGCTTAAACAGACCACAACTAAGGTGTCCCAAGCGGTTTCTTCAAATCCCATTACCATTCTTCATCACTTCAAATTCGCTAAATAAACCGATTTCAACTAGAAATTAAAACAAAATATATATATATTTTTTCAGTTTTTTTTAAGTCTTCGTTTGTTTCTCGCAGTGTGCGTCATGCGAGAAAAGCTGATGAAAAACCCATGAGCATGTGTGTGTGTGGGAATGAGGTCATATTTTGGAGCTGGCAAAGCTATTTCGAGTCCCCTTGCTCCGTCCCCATTTTAAGTTTTTATTTTCGCTTGTCGCCCTGCAAGTTTGACTACGAAGGAAATGTAAAGCAAGGCACACAATAAAACAGCGTGAATGGGAAAAGGGGAAAGGACTCAATAGCCAAAAGGGTACAGCATCAAACCTTATGGAAAAGCACTGGAAACCCCAATCCAAAGAAAAAATTATTAAAATCTTTTTTGTTAAATATTCATATTTATTCAAAGTTTGGTTAGTTTGGGGGCTCCTATAAATTTTGGAAATCTAGTGTAATTTGTAGTCTAAATGTAACTTTTCCAAAAAACTATGCTAGGAGGTGCCGCAGACTTAGCAATTTCCACGGCTACACTTTGATTGAAGGACTTCTATCCTCGTGTGCCTCCCCAATGGTTCTGGTATTTCCTGGGAAAGCAGAAATTGCCCTAATTGGTACGGAAATTATGAATTATCATCTATACCTTTGAAAAGCCTTTGCCAGTCTCGACCGCCGATTCAATTACTCTCTCTCCCAGATGCAAAACAACTGTCTGCGGTCCTTCCAATTGCACATTTGGCGCAGCGGATCTTGGCCATCTGTGGCTGGCCATAAGTATTGTTGGCTGGAAAATGATGCAATTTACTCAGCTGGGAGTGCACTTAGGGGCAGCTAATTGGGATTGGATCATGAGTTTTCTCACTGAAACAGAGTAAGAAACTCTATAGTCGCTAATTGTCAAATAGGAATATTAAGTCAAACTTACATAATGTGGGCAAAAGACTTTGGTAGTTTTGGAGTTCCCTTAACTTTGGACGATAAATGCATTGTCCACCAGGAAGGGGCATGTAGTTTTCCATTGCAACTTGTAAATTACCCATTGTACAATCTTCCGACATCAACACTCTTGTTCATATTGCAGTAGGTTTCGTCCTCGTCTCTCGACTTGCACAAAACTTCTTAATTGCTGAATGCCCAGAGCATGGGCTCCTGCTCCTCGTAATCCTCCATGGACGTTTCATTTGGGAACTTGGTTTTAATTTGGCCATAATTATGAAAAGGAAACAGCTGGCGGCGCAACAGCAGCCGCTTCGCGTTTGCGGGCCTGCATTTAAATTCGATTCAGTTCTTATGCAAGTTACCTTCGTGGGGGAAAAGTTTCCCGACTATTTCAACTTTAATTACGCACAGGCATTGGCCGTGCATTATCAGCCAAAAAATGTTCGGCGACAGGAAAAGTCCTGAAAGTTCCGACAAACCGCCTTGGACGTTGATAAAATTTCATGCCATTTCCGGGCAGTAAACTTTCGTAGGGAGCACCCAAAGCCCAATCAGGCAATATCGCAATGCACTAACCATAAGCCATTTAACTGTGGCGCATCCGTCTGTGCAACGCGGTCCCCAAGTTGAAACTTCAATAAGTTGCTGGAAAGAAGGGTTTAAACTTAAAGCTGCGAGTTGCATGCGCAACTTGAATAACTCAATTAGTTTGCAGTTGTTGCTGGTTGGTTTTTCTCGTAATTGTTGCTTTTGTTGCTGTGCATTGACTTAGAGCGCAATTTTCACGCTTCTCTGACTGGGCCAAGCCCCAAAAACGAAAGCGAAAAGCAGCTGGAAAAGTGAAACATCGGTAGATAGAGAAGTTATTAAAGAAAACTAAGTGGCGGGTTTGGTAAACTAATTGGAGCAAACCCAAACTAATAGGTGAAGTTGCAACGAAAGTGAAACTGGAAATTTACAAAAGTCTATCTCGAAGCTGACAATATGATTTTTAGCCCTCAGATCAGTGCACTTTGTTTTGGACTAAGACGTCCAATTTAAATTTGAGAAATTTCAAAGTAAACAAAGGTGAATTTAAAAAGTTTTCAATTAGTTCCTGCAACTTCCACCTTCCCTACCCCTTTTCTTTGCCATTTCCCTTCGGGTTTTATGCTTTCTCCCATGAGTTCCTGTCAACATAAACAGCTCCATGTTAATTTGTTTGGCTTTGCCCAACTGTGCGTGGCTTTTTCGCAGCCGCTCGGCCGCTCCCAGTCGCTGCTAATGTGTCGCTAATTAGCTGGCTATGCGAATGCGTGGGTGCCTTGGGAACTCAGCCCCTGCTAGCCACTAAAAAATTAACCACAATATTTGACCGAATTGCAGATATTTGACAACCCGCTGCCACCTGGGAAATTTTTAAAGCGTTTATGTCATTTTCCGGTTTCTTAATAAGTAATTAGGTAGTAAGTGGGCTAAAAAGGGAAAAGTATGTAACAGGTAAAAGGTAGCACCTGCACCCTTTAAGGCATATATACTCGTATATTTAGCTTCGAGTAATCAAATCGATATTCTTATTTTCTTTTTCAGATAAAGATCTAATTTGCAATGGTGAACGATGAAGGCGGTGAAAAAAAAACAAACCCTGAGAAACTTACCGGCTACGACTTCTACCGCTCCTCCCTGGGATCCCCGCGCTACGTCGTGGCACCCATGGTGGACCAAAGCGAGTTGGCCTGGCGAATGCTCTGCCGGCGATATGGCGCAGAGCTCTGCTACTCGCCAATGTACCATGCAAACCTTTTTGCCACAGACCCCAAGTATCGCAAGGACGCTTTACAGACGTGTCCCGAGGACAGGCCACTGATTATCCAGTTCTGCGGCAACGATGCCCAACAAATTTTGGACGCAGCCCTCTTGGCTCAGGACCACTGCGATGCGGTGGATATTAATTTGGGCTGTCCACAAGCTATAGCCAGGAGGGGTCACTACGGGTCCTTTCTGCAGGACGAATGGGAACTGTTGACAGAAATTGGTCAGTGTGAAAACTTTTCTAATTCGTAATTACTCATTAATTTAATCATTACTTTTAGTGAGCACACTGCACGCTAAGCTATCCATACCTGTGACCTGCAAGATTCGTATTTTCGAGGACCTTGAGAAGACCATTAGATATGCCAAGATGTTGGAGGATGCCGGCTGCCAGCTACTCACTGTCCACGGGAGGACCAGGGAGCAGAAGGGTCCTTTGACTGGCGTTGCCGATTGGAATTACATTAAGGAAGTGAGGAATCACATCAAAATTCCCATGATTGCCAACGGTAACATTCTGGGACTGGAAGATGTCCATCGCTGCCTAACCGAAACGGGAGTCGATGGGGTAATGACCGCCGAGGGCAATCTCCACAATCCGGCTATCTTCCAGGGAGTGTCGCCACCTGTTTGGCAAATGGCCCATGAGTACTTGGAGCTGGTCCAGCTCCACCCCTGTCCAAGCTCCTACATACGAGGACATCTCTTCAAGCTCTTCCATCACATGTAATTTCTAAGCCTTTCCTAATTTGAAGCGTTCTTTCTAAATGGTGTCCTTTCCCACTATTAGTATGAACATCAGGCAGAACTCGGAACTCAGACAATACCTTGCTACTGCCAATCAGCTAGGGCAATTCCAAACTGTCGTGCAAGAGGTGCGGGCGAAATATGAACCCTTCCATAAGGGCGAACTTCCTTACGAGCCCGAACCAATGGCCGCCGGATCAGAAGAAGATGTAAGTTATTGGCCTTTCTCTTTATCTTTCATCAGAGACATTGTTTAGTAATACTTTTCTGGTCGTCTACAGAAGCTACTGCTGGCCCCTTGGCTGTGCCAACCCTACATTCGGGCCTCACCCGAATCCCACCTCCAAAAAATCGCGGAAAAAGTGCGTGAGGCCGAAGATCCTAATAGAGCTAAGCGGCAGTACTTTGATAAGGACGGCAACGAGATCTCCCGAAAACGGATGAAAAAACTGCGTAGGCGTCAGCGGAGACCGAACAAAACGGATACACAGATTCAACATCGGCATGAAAGACGCCTGGAATACTGCACAGAATGCACCAATCCCCAGGGATCCAAGTGTGAGTTTCGGCTGTGTCGTGTCTGCTGTAAGGACAGGTGCTACAACAATGATCACGACTGTCCTGGTCACGGGATCTTGATCAAATCCCGCAGAGCCAAGGCTAAGCAATTTGAGCATCACATAGCGCAGGAGGGCAACCAAGACGTGTCGAGAAGTCCAGACAGCGGACCGGCGATAGTTGCGATTGATGCACAAAATCCACTTTGACGTTGACGAAACTTTGTTCCTATGACGCTATTATAAATACATTACAAATAAATATATTTTTTTATTACAATCTGACATTTAAATTAAGTTGGGAATCTTTTTTATAAAAAGCACATTAAAATCATTTAAAATGCTACAGAATGATTAGCTCTAGTGTCCCTTCTGGCATAATCTTTTCAAACCAGCGAGATAATAATGCCCCATGTCATGGGGCCATTTTACTTATTTTACGCCTCATAGTTTTTCTTTGTTTTGAATGAGATGGTTGGCGTGTGACCAGTCACTTAATAAAATATATGTATGTTTTTATGGTACGGCGGTATTGGCACACTCAAGTAGGCTCTTTTCTCCGAGAGCTTTGGGCACTCTGAAAACTAGTTGCACGCCGTTGAGCTCCACAAAATCAAAACAAACCAAAAATGGAGCAAACGAAGCCTTTTTATGATTTTAGCATTCCCTTTAACAAGGACGACTCGGTTATGCGGGCCCTGCTTAACGAGCTGGTGGAATGTGAGTACAAATTGTGTTTACCTACTTTGATTTTACCGGTATTCAGAACCCTCGTTACAGTGGGCTACAAAACCATCGCTATCGAGCAGAGTTTCGATCACAGCAAAAAGGCGCCCGGCAAACGAGGATCGGAGATTTTTCCCGAGCCCCACAAGATCGAACATTTGCGCAAGGAGTTCCAGAACAAACTTAAAATTCTGCAGAGAATCACCATTTTGTACGTGGATGTTAGTGTGGCACATGCGATGGTGAGTATACCACGTTTAGCATAAACAACATGTTAAATCACAATAAATGTTTCAGAGTGTCTCCCTAAACCTGAGAAAGTTTAATATAATTGCTGGCCAACCCAAAACAGATTCCGCTTTGACAGTAAGTTTCTTTAAATACATCCGAGAATGCACTTTTAAGCTCCCACTCTTAAGCACTGCTGCACATCCTTCAATGGGGACTTGATAACCTTTGACCATGTGGCTGGTTCACGCCTTTTGGTGAATCGAAAGGCATACCAGGTGGCTGTTCGACGGGGCATGTTTTTCGAAATAAAATACGCCCCAGCTATAGTCGATTCAAATAATAGAAAGGACATGATAAAGATTGCCCAGAACTTTTGCACCAAAGGGAAGTCCAAGAACATCATCTTCAGTAGTGGAGCCGAGAACAGATTCCAGTTAAGAGGACCCTACGATATAGCTAATCTGTAAGATATATATTTTCCCAATAGGTATATGTAAGATAACTAACAATATTTTGAATATTTCAGGGCTTTTATTTTCGGGTTGTCGGAAGACCAAGGAAAAAATGCTGTGGATCGCCATTGCCGCCAAGTTTTTTTAAAGGCTGAGTCGCGACGGTTGGGCAAAGTCATTATGTTCGTAAAAGGCAATGGACCGGTTGTATTCTCAGATAGTTCAGAGGGCGAACATAGCGGCGAAGACGATGATATTGAGGATCTAGATACACAAGTCGGAAATGATGTAGAATCCGAAGTTACGAATGATAATAATCAACCAAATAAACGACTTAAAGTAGGATAGCACCACAAAATACTTGAATTTGAGAGTTAGTGGGGTCTTACTGAATTATATTACAAATTACAATCAAAAAACCGGCTACGTTATGCCTTTTGACGTAAGGGTATAACCAAAAAATACAAGGTTTGAGTCCGAAATAAGCACAAAACCCGGTTCAATACAGGGATTGGGTTCAGATAACTCCATTTCGACAATTAGTGCGTAGCCACCTCCTAACTTACTTTAAGTATGATATAATAAGTAAATGTTTACAATAAGGAGAGACCAGCGCTCGGAGTCTTTTCGAACTCATGTTATTAACTTATTTAGTAGCAGTATCGAAATCAAGGTGAAATATCGATGGTAACACGAAAAATATCGTTGCCAGAATTTTTTTGGTATTTGACCGTTTCGATATTTTCGTATGAACATCGATTTTTTTACCAGCTCTAGCGTACAACAACATAACAAAATGGAGGTCTTAGATGTGTGTGTCGCGTTGACTTGAAATTTGCTGCTAGAATTTTGCGTTAAACGGTAACAAAAAGTGCAAATAAATTGATATAAGTTGCGGAAAAACTCTTGTCAGGTTGCCGGCAACTGGATAAGCAAAAAATCCGAAGAAATTTGAGCGTATTTAAAGCGAATTATGCATTTGAAAAGCACTCTGAATCGAGACACTTGAAAAGAAAAAAGTGTGCAAAGAAGAAGAGAGCGGATAGAAAGAGAAAAAAGGGAGAGAGCGAAAAGAGCAATAAAGACAAGCGACAAGACGAAAAGAAAAACGGCAAAGCAAAAGAAATGTATTTCGCGAGACGAAGAAGAAAAGCTGGAAAGCAGCAGCCAATGTCCAATTTAAATTATTTTTTCCCCCGCCAGTTCCAAGTGCATTTCTCTATGTGCCTGTGTTTGAGGGGCTAATGTGTGTGTATGTGCGATTAATTAATGGCGAAATTGGCGAAGAACATCGAAAATCCAATGCAAAAGTGTGAGCGGCGGTCTAATACAATTAAAAATGGACCTCAACGGTGTGTGTATGTGTTCGATGCTCGTTTGTGTTTTCGCCATCATCATGGTTTCGTTCGATTGTAATCACGCTGATTATTGCCTGCTCTTTTGATTTCTTTTCTGCTGTCCTGCTCGCCATTTTCTTTACGCCCGCCTTTACTCTGGAAAAAAAGTTTAACGTGTTTCAACTTAGCTAATTTTTTCGCGTATCGCGTCGAACATAAATTTTGTGTATGTGTTTGTGCCCCTTGCGCTGCAGTGTTGCCAACATTATTTGGGAGATGCAGCGCCGCACATTTTGCACCTGTGCAGGAGACAATCTGCGTTATACCTCCACCCCCGCACACACTCACATCTCAGCACCCATTCGCCATAATGGCTACTGCTACAGTTGCTCTGTCGACGTCGCAGTCGGCGTTCTTGCTGCTCTCATCACAGTTTGTTATTATTGCGCTAGGAGGAATAAAAGTGCAAAAAATATACTAAATGTAATCACTTCGTTTATTTGACCTGGAGATTATTAACAAAAATTTGATTTTGAATTTCACTAGTTAAAACTCAAATTAAGTATTATTTAATAGCAAACAAAAATTCGAAGAATGTGTTGAAATTTAAACTTTTTTGATTTATTAAAACTTCTAACTTTTATTCTATTCTTAAGAACTCATACTATGTTCCGTGTTTTGCTACTTGAGTCTACTCATGGCCAGGTTGCACTGTAGTTGGCTGGTCTCATCAATATTTCGATATTGATGGCCTGAAGTATAGCACTCACATAGATACAGTGCACATATGCAACGGTATCCCCATTTGCTGCTCTTCTTCTTGCTCCTCTTTGATTGCTTTTTGCTCCGCTTCGGCCGCTGTGTCAACTCATCTGTCTGCCTCCCTCTTCCTCACTTCACTCGCTCGCACGCACACAGTCGCCAGTGCTCGGACACACGTTTTTCTAGCCGGGCCACTCCGACTCTCCCACTCCATCGCCTCTCCATCTCCCGCACACCCAGCGCTACGACGCGCAATTGATGAGAGAGTGTAAAACTCATGCGCTTGTCGCCGCTCTCGACGCGTCGCGTCGTCTGTTGTGCGTCTCTTCTTCTTCCTCTCGGCGGCTGTAACAATTTTTCCTTCTTTTTGTTCATTCCATCTGCTGTTTTCTTCTTTTTTTTACTTGTGCAATTACCAAGACGCAGAGATTTTCCCTGACTTCCAGCAATATCTATCGATTTCTTTGTTTCTTTTCGGCTGTAAAAATGTACGTTTAATTGTAATTACTGTGTATTAGTGTGAGTGTATAAGCGAGAGGAGCGGACCGCGAGAAGAAGAAGCAACAGCCTCGGAATTGGAAACGTTGCGCTTTTGTAGCTTTCGCCATTGCTTCTTCCTCTTGCACCAACAATTGTGCTACAATTATTATTTCGCATGTGTATCTATACTTGAATTAGCATTGTTGTTGTGGTTCTTGTTGCCCTTTTTCATTCGTCGTCATTTGTCATTCCGCTGTGCTTAACTATCGATAACTTGCGTCCGAAATGATTGCGTGATCAAAAACTAAACAGAATAACACAAAAACAAAAGAAAACTAAAGAGAGATAAAAGGGAGTAAGGTGAATGTAAGCCGTAAAAATCAACTGTAAAATGTGAGAGCCTGCGGTATAACACAAAACAAAAAATGCATATGGATTAGCAGTACACAAAATAATTAAAAAGGGTGAGTAATATTTGCAAGTCGGTTTTAAATATAAGTACCTTTAGACGAACAGAATCGTGAAATTGCGAGCGATTTACAACAATGGCCAGGCAGAAAATGATTTTAGAAATAATTATGTATCTTTAAGCGAAAACAGATACATACGTATGTATGTACGTTCGGCGAGACACGCAGTCACAGACATACAAACGAATTGAGCGAAAAAGTCACAACCGCACAAACAACAACGAAATAATTTCAATCAACTCTTTTCGGTGAAGAAGAGAAAAAGCAGCGAAAAAACGTCACACGCCTGTGGTCTCCCTCTTTTCCTCTAGCCTTCTCCTTCCCACCCCCACTCGTTATTATGCGAATAAAGCTAAAGTAAAGTTAAGGCGAGTGGGCAGTTCCACTCATTGCTTATAGTTGTTCTTGTTTTCTTTGGCGCTGCGGCAAACAAATTTAAGTAATAAAAAGGAAAAAATAACTTACGTGACGTGCAAATGAGAAGAACAACAATAGGGAGCAGAAAACTGAAGCAAACTACAGTCGGTCTTCCCTAAGTTGGACGGAAGTTAAGTTACGTGGGGTTAATTTAAAAATATGAGTTTATAGTTTTAATAATATAACATAAAAAAATATTTAGAATGCCTTTCTATTTAAAAACATTCAAAATAAATAAATAAAAAAATATTTTAAAAATATGTAATACGTTTTGGTAGCCACAAAAAACTATTTAGAAAGCTTGGGTTAACATTAGTAGTGTGACAGAACCATGTGTTACAATCAAGTTGCTATTAGGGATTTAGGCAAGGTCTGTCTCATGTTCTTGAGAAGAGAAGTGAGAGACAAGTTTTCAAGGTACGACTGTATAAAACCAAAAAGAGTGACGAGCGCAAGAAGAAGAGTTAATGACGGGCGAGAGAACCGAACGATGGATGGAAAATCGGGCAGCGGCAGCGACGAAGACCAGAGACCATATAATATCATCCATCCCAAAAAACCGAATCAAAACCGACCAAACAACACCAGGCAGCAACAACAAGCAAACATATGAACGACGACGACCCCAACTCACAAACACACGCAGGCAAACAAACGTACACAATTGCATATACAGATACACATGACATACAAACAAAAGGCACCACGATATGCGAATGCGAATAAAATAGCAGCAACAACTATGCGGCGAATTTGCACGAATCATGCGAATCTCCAACTCAGAAATACACAGGCATACATGCATAATACGTGTTTTGTACTTGTCGCCGTAATGTCGCCGCCATTCGCCGTATTTTTTCTTAGCTTTCCTTCGTTTTGCGAATTTCCTCTTACCCTCGCCATCTCTCACTTCTGCTGACCGGTGACCACCCAATAACAACACTTAAACTCATCTTTGTCGCACTTTGAAACTTCATATCTCAAATATGTACATAAGTTATCCCTTAAAGTTTAAAGGCATTCTACATGTTAATCTTTATTATAATACCTGCAATTTTTTTTAACTTTTAATGATAACAAAATTCGTTTAAAAAATAAAATTTATTTTTGCCCACATCGGCGACCCAAACGTTTCTTCATAAGCCTACGGGATGCTATTAATTTTTTAAACCTTTATTAATTTTGTTGTTTTTGCGTGCTCTTTCTCTGTACTTTCGTTGTTGTTTTGACTGGCTCATTGCCGCCTCTGCTTCTCATTCTCTTTCTATACGAAACAGTCAATCCGTTGCTTTGTCTCGCAGTCGCTTTACTCTCCGTCCGTCTTTCATGATTTTCACAGGCGACTGCGACGCCGGCAGCGCTGTCGCCAAAGGCCGGCATACGCCCCCTTTCCACCACAAAACCCCCTCTTCTCCCTCGCTGATGCAGCACGTGATATACTCGTTTTGCTTTTGGTTTGCTCTTTAGCGCACGCTATGCCTTGCTTTGGCCTTTTTTTTTTTTTTTTTTTTTTTTTTTTCCCCAACATATTTGCTCGTTTCACTTGTTGGGTTTTTTTTCATTTCGCTTTGTCGTTGTTTTCGCCGCTCGCTCGTTTTTAGCCGGCACTTCGCTCTTATGAGAGCTACTCACTCACTGTCTCTCTCTCTCTCTCTCGCTCTCTCTCTCTATTTTTTGTTGCTGAATTGACAACAGCCACCTCTATATCCATTCGATCCGGTTTAGGTCCAGGTGCAAATTTTATACGACAGTTTAACTCGATAATCGGGTCAGGACTTGTGTTGACTTCCCTTAGCCTCCTAGTTTTCGTATTATTTTTGTAATTCTAGCGGGAAACATAGCGTCTGTTTTGTTGCAGGCCTACAACTAGGCCTACAACTTTCTTTCAAAAGGTTTTTTATTTAACACAATCATCTTTGTTTTTTTAAATCACTTAAGTTATGAAAAAAAAAGTGAAGAGATTATACAAATTTAAATGAATTTTTTAAAGAGATATGGTTAATTTACAAAATGAAAAGGATTATGAAAGAAGGTTGTTCTTTCTCCTTTTACGATATAGTTTTGGGAAGCTAAAGTTGTCTGTGAGCAGCCATAATGGAGCACAAACCATTTTTGTTCAATCAAAATATCGCTTTGCAAAAAAAAATATGGTAAAAATGTATTTGACATTGCCTAAAAGTGTTATATTTAGTTTTACAATATACTGTGCTAAAAACGCGGTGTTAGTGAATTTTTTGGACTTGATGTTGCCACTATCGGACTCCACTCATCTCTAATGCCAATTGGGCCTGCCATAAATGAACCGTTACACATTCAAAAGGTTGCGCGTTTGTAATTTTTCCCAGCGAACTTTTGTGGGTTGTCGGCTGTGTTGGCTTGTTGTATGTGTCTCTCAGGCGTTGGAGAGTGAGTTTTGGCTGACGGCTCTCAGTAGAGCGCTTTGGCTTTTCCGAAAACTGTGTGTGGCTTTCTGCTTTTGTGCTTCTTTTGCTACAGCTGCCGTTGTTACTTTACCTATTTTATTACCATTTTGATGTATGTGTGTTTGTGTAAGTGTGTGAGCGCGTTTTGCCGCTGCGCCCATCTGTCTCTGCTCTGCTAATGCCTCTGCCTCCTCGTCCTCCTTTCTGCTTCAGCCACTCTTTGCCTCTTTTTGGACCGCGCAGAGTGACGGACTTGGCTGCCGCCGTTAAATGTTGAATGTGGCTTTTCTTACAAAAACCAACTGTACTTTTTAGTTACTGTTAGCGCGAACTCAGCCACTTGACTTGATTGTTATTAAAGCCGGATTCATTTGTATTTATGTATGCATATGTGTATCATCCCAGCACGTTGTGCATACGCGGGGTACCGAAGATCTCCCATAAAGTGTCGACATATTACAATCACCTCTGTGCTTAGGACTAAAAAATAAGACAAAACAAGAAAGGGTCAAATGAAATATGGAATCGCATATCTAAGCAGCGCCACCGGACTTCAGCTCTTACAATATTCGTTAGGTTTGATAATTTGGAGATAAAATACAAAGCGAGAGCACGAAACAACTGTCAAAAATTGTGGGCTAACCAAATATTTTTGCCAAGCTGAAAGGTGAATGAACCCTCTTCTCTTTTTGTTTTGCTTTTTTTTTTGAAGTTTTTCTATTGCGAAACGTGTAAAATTGTAAGTTCGTACATATTAACTACGTTTATTAAAATGTTAGATATTGGAAAATTAGAAATCTTTAAGACTACAATTTTTTCAATTGTTTTAATATTACAAGCTACTAATATTCTCCATAAAGCTGTACAGATGTAGACCTTTTTTAAGAGTCCGTGAATTGACGGGTAACACTTTTTCAACAGAGACAATTGTGACTTGAATAAACTTTTTTTGGGAGCGATTTTCAGGGCTCATAAGGCGATAGAGCATTGTAGAGAAGAAGAAAACGTCCCGAAAGCTAATGCTAATTCTGATGGTAGTGGTGCTGTGCTGTTGGATTGTCGGAGCGTATTGTTGGTGGTGTCGTCGTCGGGTCACAAAAATGTGGCTCGCGTCTTTGTCGTTGGACACACTGAAATTTGCTTGTCTATTATCACCTTTAATCGATTTTTCGCTTATTTAAAACCAACGTACAGTTGTGCGCAGATACACAAAGTGACATAGACATAGACATAAACACAGAAAGAGACGGAGGAGAGAGGCAATAAGTAAAGTATAATTTCACAATTTTTCAGATGTCTGCTTTGCTTACCCAAACACAAACAACAACATCGAGCCACTATACTACATACCACAAACATTCGTACATACATACATGTATGTATGTATGCTACTATTGCTTTTAGCTATTGTTTTTGCAATTACTCTGCCTGATTTGTTTGTGTAATAGCCATGCCGAAAAATGAGAAGAAGCGAGCAAGAAATAAAAACTAAAGCGAAAGAAGGAAAAAATGCGACATACACACACTCACTGATAGATATCTGCCAGATATACAAAGTAAAGTCTCGCCGCACACCATTGCCATCGAACGGGCGTGTGTACATGCCGCTCGCCAAATAATAATGGCAAGACCTGAAACTAAATAAATAAATAGCTGAAATTGCAATAGCGAAGTGTAATTGATTACGGCGAAGTCAAAGCAGCCGGATAGCAAAAACAACGAGTGTGCACTTGGAGAAAAAAGACGTGTTAGCAAAGCTATTTAATAAATAATATGATGAGAACAAATTTATATAGTAAGGAAGGATCTTATCCATTTGTGAGGAAAAACTTTTTTAAACGAGTAACTGAAAAATGTTGTTTTTATTTTGAAATTTGTGTCCTACTCAGCAGCCTTTGCCTTTCTCTATGTGTAAAAGCCGCGACGAAGACTTGCTAAATGATTGTCCAATAAGCGCAAACATCTCACGGCAAACAGCAAAGGGGCAGCAGTGGTTGGCAAGCGGTGGAGGGGTAGTGCTTAAGATGTGGTGTGCGGGGCTGTGCTGAGCTCGCCGTTTAGCCCATGTCAGCTACTACACATATGTTTTGCTTATGATGTTTCTTGTAGTAACAGTGTGCGTGTGGGTGAGGGGACCCTCACCCCCACCTTTTTGCACAAGTATTTATAACAGTACACTGAGCACCGAATTTTGTTTGTCTGGATGTTTGTGTGTGTAAGTGCATATCTCCCTGTACTCGGTGTAGTTTTGTCTCTATATCTCTCCACTTTCCATTTGCACACACATAAAACAGACACCAACCACACCTTGCCACTCCACCACCTTCCAGCCACTTCCCGCCCCATTTGCATATCTTTGGGCTCTCGCAGCTTCCAACAATAACAACCAGTCAGTCAACCCACCCGCATTTTTTCTTTGCTCTCTGCGGATTTTCCCCTACTACTTTAGATTTTCGGCTTTAAGCAGCCGCAAAGACAATGCGAAAAATCGATAGAGTTCCCATTGTTTTTCTCACTGTTACCGTAAGGAATTTTCACCCAGCACTAAGACCGACACAGCACCCACCACCCATTCTCACCTCTAAATCAACCGAAGAAAGTAAAGCAATCTTAATATCATACATTTGCAACAGAATTTGGTCATTTATGAAGCTTTCACTTTTTTTATTTTTAGCCCTTTTTAATATAAATAATAATTTTTTTTGAGAACCTGACAATATTGCTCAACATTTTAGGGGGTTAAACTGTACGTTATATGTGCTATTCTATGAAATTCATAAGCGTATAGCTTTTCCCCTTAAAAGTTAAAGCAACAGCAGCAAAAAGTGTTATTAATTTAAGGTCATGTATTATACACTTTTAGGAAATAACACACATATTGTTTTATGCGAGCGATTCTTTTCTATTTGGCTAATTCTCACTTTTATTCTTCTCTTTACAGATTTACTACCATGTTATAATTTTTAAATGCAAAATCTCGCTTAAAATACGCCCAAATCTAAATGAGTTCGCCACTCCCCGTAAACAATTACCGTTTTACGTGAAATATTTTTTTTTTTTTTACGAATTTAATCGATACCTATAACCAGTTCCAAATATTTTCAAAATGTATTTTTGCAGCTGTGAGCGAATTGTGTTTCACTGCGAATATGTCAAAGGTCGGCCATGAAGTGCGCGAAACACGAGACACAAAAAACTTCACCACATAAACGGAACAACAAGACGTTAAATTGCACAACAGTTGTAATTAAGTTTAGTAGTTAGAATCCGCAATCAACACATATATAATAAGAATATATAAGGCGAAGGTGGAAAGAGAAGCCATAGCCCAGGGGTAAATTATATCCGCACCCCCGAGAAGTGGAACTTCTCCGCCACCGTCTGGTTTTCAGTACACGGCTACGTTGTAATTGACATTTTTGACAACGGCCACGCAAAGAAAGCAGCATCAAAATTAAGCCAATAGACGACCAAACGTAAACCGCAGCGGCGTCGTGTTTGTCGACGTGTAACGGACATTTCTGTATGCGCTGCGTTTACAAAATCTGATGGATGGAAATGCACAAAATATGTTTCACGGAAATCATCAAGGGTGAGTTTGTTGGGTTTGTGAGCTAAAATGAAAATGTACGGAAAATGATTTTTGGTTCCTTTCAAAAGTTAATATTCCTTATTTTCTATACTAATGATCTGTTACGTTCTGGTCCCACAGAGATCCCTATTACCGTTACGATGCGGCAGCCGCCGCAGCAGCCGCCGCTGCGGCGAACCCTCGGGCAATGGGGCCGCCCGGCGGCTACCCGCCGCGGCATCGCCCTCCTCATCCGCTACAGCAACAGCCCCAATACCCATCGTACCAGCCAACGGCGGAGAACCTGTACGGACTGGGGGCCGCCGATCACCAGGCTGCAATGGGCCTTGGCGTTGGAGTTGGGGTTGGAGCCGGAATGGGTGATATAAGCGGTTGGGGAGCAGCGCCTTCGGTTCCGGGCCAGGCTGCAGCTTATCCAGGAGCTGGACTGGGGGCCTATGGTCATCCACAAGCAGCTCCACCAGCGCAGCAGCAGCGCCAGAGTAACGCCAGTGCATACCGCCAGCACATGCCCGCCTATGGACAGCAGGACCAGCAGAAACTTGCGTCCTATGGCGCGCAACAAAGTATGATGGCAGGCTACGGATCACTGGCTCCTCAGCAACAACAGCAGCAGCAACCGCCCACACCACAACAGCAGCAAGCGCAGCAAGTGCAACAGCAGGCGCAGCAACAACAACAGCAGCAGCAGCAGGGTCAGCAGCAGACTCGACTGCCGCAGCATTATCCACAAGCTCCGGGGCAGCATCCGTTGTATCCTGGCGTAGGACCACCTACTGTCCAGGCAGGACAACCTCCAGCGCCTCAGGCGTATGCTCACAGTCCGTATGGGAGTCCCATGCAACACCAACCGAGCAGAGGAGCACCCCAGCACGTGGGATATGGTCACACAGGATTAGACCAGGCTTCAGCCTACGGGCAACATGTGCCGGGAGCAGCTCCACCGGGGCACCACTTGACAGCGCAGCAGCAGCAGGCTGCGCAGCAATTGGGCGCCCACCAGCAGCAGCAGCTTCAATCGCAGCAGCAACAGCAGACGCAGCAGCAGCAACCCCATGTCTCGCTAATGCAGCAGCAACAGTTGCCAGGCGCTGGATTACCGCCACCGCACATGGGAATGCCACCTAGTTATGGAAGCCACCACCAACAGCAGCAGCAGCAGCAACAGGCCCAACAACAACAGCAGCAGGCCGCACCGCCCTACATGTCCAGCAGCAAGCATCAACAGGCGGCTGGCCAGCTGAATTCCTCGCCCCAGTACCGTGCTCCATTCCCTCAACTTTCGCCACAAATGTCGCCACGTCCACCGACGATGTCGCCGCATCCACAGATGTCTCCGCGACCAGTGGGCGTGTCACCTGCGAAACCACCACCCCCTCAACAACAGCAACAACAAACGCAAGCACAGCAGCCACAACAGGTGGTGAACAATCAGCCCAGCCAACATAGCATTCAAGGCATGGTGGGTCTGCCCTCGCCGCGTTCTCAACCGCCAACAAGTGGAGCAGGGGGTGCTGTAGCGAAGGGTCCTGCGCCAGTCGCAGCTCCCGTAAACACATTACAAGCCCTCGAACAAATGGTGATGCCGTCGCAGGCTCTCGGGCTGCCCATGGATTACCCTTCAGCTTACAGAAGCGCAGTGGGCCCCAGAATGCCAGCATCCCCACAGCAACAGCAACACCATCAGCAATGGGGCGCAACCCATGGAGCACAGCACTTGGCGGCGTTGCAGCAGCAGCAAGCCCAACAACAACAGCAGGCGCAACAGCAGCAACAAGCCCAGCCGCAACAGCAGCAACAGTCGGCTATGTTGCAGGCGCAGCAGCATCACCAGCAACAGCTTAGCATGTATGGTCAGACAATGGGACAGCAACAACAACCTCAAACACCACAGCAACAGGTTGTACCACCAGTGGCAGCACAGCAACCATCAGTGGTGGCCACTCCACAGCAACAACAGCAACAACACCAACAGCAATCACTCAACGATCAATTGCAGCACTCGATTAACGATATTGTTGGCGGTGGTAATAGTGGTGGAGCAACAGGAAGCTCTCAAAGCCAACAGCAGCAGCAACAACCCCAACTGGCGGCGATGTCCTCGCCGCTGCATCAACAAAGTTTGCCCAGCATGCACCACTTAATGCAGCCCACGATGGAGACGGCGCAATCAGCGCAGCAACAACAGCAAACTGCTCAACAACAGCAGCAAACTGCACAACAGCAGCAGCAACCGCAGGCGACTCTAACATCGCCACACCACCAGCAAATGCAACATCAGTCCCCCATACACCAGCAGCAGCAGCAACAGTCACCGCACCACCAACAACACCTACCCAGCTATAATCAGTCGCAGCAGCAATTCGATCCATTTGCTAACATACTCGGAGACAATCAGCAACCAGCACCCCAACAGACAATGTCGCCAGCTCATGTAAGTTCACCGATCCCAGCGCAAATGCAACCACAGCAGCAACATCATCCCCAACAGCAGCCAGCCCAGCAAGTACCACAACCCCAGCAACAACAGGTGCCGCAGCCACAGCCGCAAACGCAGCAGCAACAACCAACGACACCGTCACATCACCTGAGCAGCATTCTCAATGAAACAGCCAACTCAAATGATTCCTCAACATTGGCCGTGGCTGCTAATGATAGCAACAACAGCAGCAGCAACAGTAGCACAAACAGCATTGTCAACAACCAGCCCACATCTGTTCACGACAGCAACTCGCAGAGCAGCATTAACAGCAGCAGCAACAACCAGCAACAGATGCTAATGGACAACACGAATTCGCATGGAGGAAATTCGGAATCTGCGCAGCACGTTGCGGTGGATGTTGGACTTTTTGATAACAACTCTATGTCCTCCACATCCGCAGCAGTTGCTGTCGTAGCCTCCAATGCAGCTTCTGCAGCAGCAGCTCTTTTGGACAGTAACTCGCAGTCTTCGAATGCAGAGTTTGAAAAGAACCAAAGCGAAGGCGAGGGATTAGGTGTTGTAGGAGGAGTTTCTACCAATGAAACTGAATTGCTACAGGATGAGAACAGTGTTTCCAAAACTCAAGATGTTAGTCTAAGTACAGAATTTCCAGCGGTCCAAGAGGATCCGCAAGATAAACCCTCCGAAGAGATTGAACAAACTCAACTGGGCCCACCTGTAGGAGATTTGTCTACCTCTTTGTTAGAAGAACCTAAAATCGTAGAGGAATTAGGGGAGGATAAATCTCAATCCGCATCTGGAGTGGTACCGCCTGTAGATCCTACGACTCTGGTTGCTCAACCGCCTCAACAACAGATGCCTTCCATGGGAATGCCTATACACTCCATGGCATCCGGATACGATGCCCCGGCTCAGGGACAGGGACAGGGACAGGGACAGGGCCACATGCCTCCCATGATGCCGCCGTATGGGGGAGCACCTGGCATGTATCCACCGTATTCAATGTTGCATCAACAAGAAATCGCTGCACTGCAACAGCAGATTCAGGAAATGTATTGCATGCCTCCAGGCCACGAGCTGCAGCACCAGGATAAGTTGATGCGGATGCAGGAGCGATTAAATCTTCTGACACAACACGAGGTAAACGACCAGTGTGCTGGTGGACCGCAGTGCTTGCTCTTCCAGAACGTTCCCCCAATGTATGGACCACCAGGAAATCCTTTGGTCAACCAGCAAATGGTGGAGAGCCCTCAAGTATCCAGTACTACAGGAAGAGGTCGAGGAAAGGGTACGAACAAGCCACGAAAACCTCGCGCCAAGAAGGGTGAAAAAGGCCAGGCGGGCCAACAGCAGGATCTGATGGATATCAGCGGCAATGTAGGAATGGGAGCAACTAATGCCACTCCAAGTATCCCAACCACACAGCTTCCCGTCTCTGAAGACTGCGTTACTCAAGGAGCGGGGGATACCAGCGTGGTCGGCATGCTTGAGTATAGTGAAGGCATGGGCGATCTTTCCCAAGATGTACACTCCGCCAATGAGCTGGATACCTCCACTGACGGTAGTGGCAAAAAAAAGAAGCCACGCAAGCCCAGGACCCCAAAGGATCCCAACAAACCTCCGCGAGATAGGACTCCAAAGGCGAAGAAGCTCAAGGACCCGAATGATCCGAACTCAACTGAAACCCCAGCAGCGGGAAAAAAACGAGTCAGTGTTAGTAAGCGCAGAAAACAGTACGGAGAAGATGGAACTGAGCAAACTGGAGAGGGGAGCGAAGTCGAGGACAACAAGCCTTTGGTGCCCAAAGCTGGATGTGCCGAGGGTGAAGCGGAAACCACTTCAGGAGGAACTGGAGTGGATGGAGAATCTCCAGATTACGATGACATTCCCGTTTCAAAAATTCCACGAAGCGCCAATGAAGATGATAAGGATGCGGAGGCTGGCGACGAAACAGTGGATTCAGTTCCAGATTCAGCAGGAGATGCTGCGTCCACTCCGAGCAGAAGAGATCGAAAGCGATCCACCGCCAGGAGCCGTCGCAACGCAAATACTGAGGAGGGAGGTAGTGCGCGCAAGAACCGTGGATCTCTCTCTGCCAAGGCACTAAAAAAGCGAAGGAATAGAGGACGAATTGTTCCCGAATCCGATGGCGAAGATGACACTCTGGAAAGAACTCCGCCGCCATCACCTCCACCAGACTCTGAGCTGGATTCCAACAAGCGAAGATCTTCAAGAAATACTCAAAGGAAGAAATACATTGACGATGTAATGCTAAGGTTCTCCGACGACGAAAACTCTCTGCTGGTGGCTTCTCCTGTAAAGAAGGATAAAAAATACTCTGCCAATGCAGGTACTTCTAATGCAGGCAGTGATGTGGAGAAAACGGAACCGCAATCTGGTGCCGAAGGGGAGGTTGGCCAGGAAGTAGGTGAAGATAAGTCTAATCTACCGATAGATGAAACCAGCCAACTGGAAGCCAGTTCAAGTACTTCAGCAGCAGGAGCGGCGGCAGTGGAAAAGGAGCGACAAAGCTCCAGTGATGCCGCAAACGCAGCGATGTCATCCAAGCCCAATTACGTGTATATAAACACTGGTGATGAAGACAGCATGGTGGTGCAATTAGTATTGGCCATGCGTATGGGAAAGAGAGAGCTCATCCCGGAAAAGCCCGCGGAAAAAGAACCCGATTCCAAAAAGGAGCCGGAAATATCGGGATCTGACGAAGTGTCAGCTGAAAAAGTCGACGCTGTTGAAGAACCAAAAACGGAGGGTGATGTGGTTGAACCCAAAGAAGAATCGGCTGACGCTAATGGAAAGAAATCCGAAACATCCAAAATGGAAGTGGAGGGCAAAGAACTGGATACAGTAGATATTAAGAAATCTGAAGATGACAAAATGGAAGTAGATGAAGATGTCGAAAAATCAGACAAGGAAAGTAAACCTGAAGATCAAACAGAAGCAGTAAAAACTGAAGAAAATGCAGACACTCCTCAGGAAGAAAAGTCTTCTAACGTCGAAACGGCAGTGGAGGCCAAGGAAGCCGAGATTGTCGCTGAGAAAATGGATGTTGATGACAAGGAAGATGAGCCCAAGTCACCTAAATCCAAAGAAGAATCTGAGGAAAAATCCACTGACGAAGCCAAGCTTGACGAGGCTGTTAAACAAAACGATGAGGAAACTTCAGAAAAAGAAGGGGAACTAAAGTCGGACAAGGAGGCAGAGGAATCCGTAAAGAAGGCGACCGGCGACGAAGACGAAGCAGAAAAGCCTGAACCAGTCTTTATTGATGTCGAAGAGTACTTTGTAAAGTATCGCAATTTTAGTTATCTACATTGCGAGTGGAGAACAGAAGAGGAACTCTTAAAGGGAGATCGTCGCGTGGCTGCCAAGATTCGTCGCTTCCAGCAGAAGCAATCCCAGCAATTAAATATATTTGAGAACATCGAAGACGAGCCTTTCAACCAAGACTTCACTGAAGTAGACCGAGTTTTGGACATGTCCGTTCACACCGACGAGAACAGTGGCGAGACCACCAAACACTACCTGGTTAAGTGGAAGTCACTTCCCTATGAGGATTGCACTTGGGAATTGGAAGAAGATGTGGATAATGATAAGATCGAGCAGTACCTGCGCTTTAACAAAATTCCTCCGAGGGGTGAGTGGAAGGGTAAAAAACGTCCGCATCCAGAATTATGGAAAAAACTGGATAAGACTCCGGTCTACAAGGGAGGAAATAGCCTGAGACCTTATCAACTAGAGGGTCTTAATTGGTTAAAGTTCTCCTGGTACAATACTCACAACTGTATCCTAGCCGATGAAATGGGTCTGGGAAAAACAATTCAGAGTTTGACCTTTGTGCACTCTGTTTACGAATATGGGATCAGAGGGCCCTTCTTGGTTATAGCCCCGCTTTCAACGATTCCGAACTGGCAGCGAGAGTTCGAGGGCTGGACGGATATGAACGTGGTGGTTTACCACGGATCGGTGACCAGCAAGCAAATGATACAAGATTATGAATACTATTATAAGACAGACAGTGGAAAGGTCTTGAAAGAACCCATCAAGTTTAACGTATTGATCACCACTTTCGAAATGATAGTGACGGATTACATGGACTTAAAGACATTTAACTGGCGCCTTTGTGTGATTGATGAAGCTCATCGTCTTAAAAATAGAAATTGCAAGCTCCTCGAGGGTTTGCGACAGCTGAATTTGGAACATAGGGTGTTGCTTTCCGGAACTCCCCTGCAGAACAATATCAGTGAACTGTTCTCGCTGCTAAATTTCCTGGAACCCTCGCAGTTCTCCTCGCAGGAAGAGTTCATGTCCGAGTTTGGAAGTCTTCGCACTGAGGAAGAGGTAAATAAACTGCAAGCTCTGCTGAAACCCATGATGCTTCGACGTCTCAAGGACGATGTGGAGAAGAGTTTGGCACCCAAGGAGGAAACCATTATCGAAGTTGAGCTAACTAACATACAAAAGAAATATTACCGAGGCATACTAGAACAGAACTTTAGCTTCCTAAAGAAAGGAACCACATCTGCTAATATCCCTAACCTGATGAACACCATGATGGAATTGAGAAAATGTTGCATACACCCATATCTCTTAAATGGAGCAGAAGAACAAATCCAATATGATTTTAAGTCCCAGCATGGCGAGGACCCGGAGTCTTATTACAAGAATCTTATTCTCTCGGCTGGAAAAATGGTTTTGATTGATAAATTGCTACCCAAGCTAAAAGCAAATGGCCATCGCGTGCTCATATTTAGTCAGATGGTTCGTTGCTTGGATATCCTAGAGGATTATCTGGTCTACAGAAAGTATCCCTTTGAGCGAATTGATGGACGCATTCGTGGCAATCTCCGTCAGGAGGCCATCGATCGTTATTCCAAGCCAGGATCCGACCGATTTGTATTCTTACTCTGCACCAAAGCAGGAGGATTGGGCATTAATTTAACAGCTGCAGATACGGTTATTATTTATGATTCAGATTGGAATCCTCAAAACGATTTGCAGGCTCAGGCACGATGTCATCGTATTGGTCAAAGGAAGATGGTAAAAATTTATCGATTGCTCTGCAGGAATACCTACGAACGTGAAATGTTCGACAAGGCCTCAATGAAACTTGGTTTGGACAAGGCTGTCCTGCAGTCTATGAACACACAAGGCTCTAAGGATGGCAACAACAAGCAACTGTCGAAGAAGGAGATCGAAGATCTTCTAAAGAAGGGAGCCTATGGAGCTGTCATGGATGACGACAATGCTGGCGACAAGTTTTGCGAAGAGGACATCGATTCGATTCTCAAGCGCCGCACTCAAGTCATCACAATGGAATCGGAGAAGGGTTCAACCTTCTCGAAGGCTTCATTTGCTGCTTCCGGCAACCGATCGGATATTACCATAGATGATCCAGATTTCTGGACAAAGTGGGCCAAGAAAGTTGATATTGATCCAGATGCTTGCGAGCGAGATGAAACAGAAGATTTGGTGTTGTCCGAACCCAGGAGGCGAACCCAAATTAAACGCTATGGCCACGAGGATGTGATGGAGATCAATTCTGAGGATTCATCCAACGAGAACAGCGATGAGGAAGGAGGAATCGGTAAGGATAACCCATGGCATTTTTATGAATTCTACTCTAATCATTTATCCAACCAGGACTGCGTTCAAGAAGGCGGAAGGAGAAACGCGATCGTACTCGCGAAAAGAAGGGCAACGATGAGTACATTCCAAGAGAACGGGATGCCTTGGCTGCTTTGGGATTGGAGGAGATTCAATATGGGAACTGGGCTAAGTCCGAGTGCTTCAAAGTGGAGAAAGGACTGCTTTCCTTTGGGTAAGTACACAGTTGCGAAACAGTATAAATAAAACTACATTTAAAATATGTGGCCTATTCCAGATTTTAATTTTCTTCGAGCCGGTTTCGCCGGCGAATAGCATTATTGAGTTTCATGTTGAGAATGTAGATCTTGCGCTGCAGCATTTTCTCCTCCTTTTCAAGGACGTGGGCCTCTTCCTTCCGTTCGATGTACTCGCTCACGCTGGGAGCCTCATAATCTTGGAGCTGAGCTCTTAACTCATCCAAGGTCACATAGTCCTTGTTGTTATGCATTTGAACTGCAGCCACCTCCTTTTCTAGTTTTTGAATGGCTCGTGTGACTTCTTCTGTTTTGTTTAAAACTGTTCGCATTTCGGTCTCCAAGTTCATCATGGCCTGCTTTTCCTCTGTCATGGCCAAGGATGTTTTACCCGTGACTCCTTTGAGTCCCGCCATGTGGATGTTCTTCTCCTCCAATTGATTAACCAGCTCGGTTCTCTTGATTATCAGTTTCTCAAAATCCACTGCCGTCAAGATTCCACTCAAGTCAGATTTGGTTATCAGATCCGCCCGATGCTGTTGGCACGTTTCTTGCAGGGACACTATGGTTAATTTCATGGTTCCCAATAATGCGCGTGCATTCTTAAACCAATTTGTGGTGAACTTGCGTAGTTTCCGTTCAATCTGCCTCTCAGTGGCAGACTCTAAAAAGGCCACGTCGTTTTCATCTCGCAAAAAGTGGAGCATAAAGTTGTTTTCCGTTTCAATGGTTTCCTCACTTCGAAAACGTAGTTCTTCTATCTTGGCTCTTAGCTGCTTTACCTCGGTCATCGCTGCAAAATAGATTGGAAATAAGTTTTAATCAGAGGACTCACAAGACTTCTAACAAACCATTCCTCTCGATATCAGCGACCCGCTTCTCCACCTCAGAAGCTCTTTTCTCCGCCATTTCTGCTTTGGCCTTGAAGTTTAGTTTATAGTCTATTCCGCGCCGCTTTTCTGGGGCTCCTGTAGCGCTCATAGAGACTAGTTGATTCACTGACATGGGTATGGATCGTTTGGAGCTCGAGTGACGGCTACTAATGCCATGACTTCCCTGGCCAGATCCCCGTTTCGCTTGCAGCTTTCTGAGAATCGAAGTTCGACGTTGCCTCAGTCCCAACAGCAACTTTGGATCGTTCTTCTCAAGGAACTCGACCATTATGTGGTTCTCCAACCTAAGAGTAGCCACATCATTATGCACTTGCTCGATGGTATGCAGCATGTCGAGGGCATCCAAACTGGCCAAACGCGTTTGACGCTCTTCCTCAGTGAAGTTGCGAAAGTCCTCCAAGTAGTACTTATATATAATAGCCACGACGTCCAAGTCCTGTGGCGCAACATATTCGAATATATGGAGTTTGCTTGCATGTGATTTCACCGACCGCCTGCTCTGGGTATCGGTTCTTAAGCTATGTCCCGACATTTTTATTGAGGGCTTCAGTTATGTGCAGAATAATTTTATAATAGAAAACGTTGGTCGGTTTTTGATTTTTAAGGATAAAATGTTTTCTTAATTTATGTAAAATATGTTTGGCCGGTTTTATAGTTGTTAATGGAAAACGAATGATGACTAGACTGATGAGTATTCGTTGAGTGAAAATTATAGTTTATTTTGAAGTGACTTTCAATGCAATCTTTTAGTTTGTTTTATTCATGTTCACCTTAATGCTAGTAGTAGTTGTTTTCCATTTTTTTACTAATGTTTTTTTCTTATGCAGCTGGGGACGATGGTCTGAACTTTTGGAGTTGGGGCAATTCAAACGAGGCTGGCGGGATATAGACGTCGAGGATTGTGCTCGTATCATCGTAAGTAGATGAAAACCTTCGGCTCAAGTCGCGAATAACACTTAAGAAAATGCCTTAATGATGACTAACCATGCTAATATTGAGAAAACTTTAGGTTTTCGCTGAGTAAAAACTATCTTCTCAACCCGCTGAATTCAGAAATTTGACAATTGATACTTGATGCTATTTACAACTTGTATTAACTTAATACTTTTATATACTCCTCGCAGCTTCTTTACTGCCTGCAGGTCTACAAGGGCGACGAGAAGATCAAGACGTTTATCTGGGACCTCATAACGCCGACGGAGGATGGAGAGGTGCAGAAGATCAGCAGGGATCATAGTGGCCTTCACAACTTGGTGCCACGAGGTAGGAATGCCAAAGGTATGGTAATAGATACATTCACGCACACTCCAACTGCTGCACGGACGTAGAGAGTTACCAAAAAAGGAAAACACCAACCAAGTTTTTGTACAATATTCTGCACTTTATCCGTTTGGGGCTCTGGATTAGCTCTTAATCCTAATTATGGTCTTCAGTTTTCCGTATCCGTAAATGAGTTCTACCTTTGCTCCTTTCTTAATAACTCGAATCGGATTTCCTTATGAAATTTCAATACTGGACCGGGACGGAGACTTGACCGACGAACTTGATAAGACGGGGAAAAGTGTGTGTATGCTTTGTTACCATGCAAATGTGTACTTTTTACTATATGGTTTTAAATCTTTTAATTTTATGTATATACTTATTGAATAACACCTTACTTAATTAAGTTATTAATACTATTTCGGCGAAGCTTTCATTACTAATTTATGTGTTTTAAGTGAATCTGTGATTCCTATAGCTATAGTGCCAAAATAAGTAATCACATTTTTAGAATAGCTTTATCATATCAAAAAAGTTTTATAAGAATTCACCTCCCATTCTAGCTAAGCTATCTAATCTGCAATCTATACTTATGTGTAGGCCAGAATGATGATACAAAGACTTTTCGGATCAAGCTAAGATCCAGTCTATCCAGCTGTCTGTTGTATTTGCTTATAAATGAAACTAAGGAGGACTGCTCATAAAAACAAGAACTTACTAATATTTTGAAATCGGCTTTGGCTTACAGGTCGCAACGGTGGGAAGTCGAACAAAGAGTCCACCGGATTGTCTACTCCTGCACCGGGCACAGCATCCGGTAGTAATAGTGGGAACACGACTCCGGCTCATAAATCTAGTGCCCTGGATGGATCAGAGAAGGACGGCAGTGGAATCAGTGCCAGTGCTGTGGCAGCGGCGGTCACTAGTATCCACGATCCAAATCACTGGAGCAAAAAGGAGAAGTACGACGCAGATGCGTACTTGGAGGGCGCCTATAAAAAGCATTTGGGCAGACACGCCAATAAGTGAGTCGTGTGGAATCGAACTTGTTTTAAGCTAATCCCAAATTGGAGTCTAACTTTTACTAACACAAAACTTCTTTGCTCTTCTTTTTTTATTTCTTACATTTTGTTTATTCAATTTAATTACTTACAGGGTGTTGCTGCGCGTAAGGATGCTGTATTACATACAACACGAGGTCATTGGCGATTTTGTTCAGCAGATCAAGGACAATACGCCCATCAGGTAGGCGTGGAACTCTGAGTCGGCTACTAAAGACTTGGCGTTTATTAATCATTTTGTTTGTTGTTGTTGTTGTTGTTGATTGATTGATTGATTGATTGACTGACTGATGGCCGAAGAGTTTTGATTCATTTCATATTTTATTTTATATTTTATTATTGATACTTTAATAATTAGTAATGCCAATTTGTGATTTGTTTGTTAAGAATTTTAAAATGTCTCTTTAACGGAACTTTGAGCCGGATGGTTATCAAGGTTCAGTTGGAATGCCACCTTTTATCCGCTCTCTATTTCTATACTGTGACTCTCTTTGTACACTCGATCGCTTGTCCATTTAAGTATTAGCACTTGTACATAAATCATTCACACGACTGCTCATTTGTAACTAACTTTCATGCTCTGATTTTTGCCAACTAATCCTCGGCATATCGACTCTACTTCTATCACTGTGTATTTATTATACCCGTTACTCGTAGAGTAAAAGGGTATACTAGATTCGTTGAAAAGTATGTAACAGATAGAAGGAAGCTTTTGCGACCCTATAAAGTATATATATTCTTGATCAGGATCAATAGCGAAGTCGATTGAGCCATGTCCGTCTGTCCGTCCGTCCGTCCGTCCGTCCGTCCGTCCGTCCGTCCGTCCGTCCGTCCGTATGAACGCTGAGATCTCAGGAACTATAGCAGATACAAAGCTGAGATTAAGCATGAAGATTCTTGAGGTCCCGGGACAGCGCAAGTTTATTACAGCATCCAGCCACGCCCACTCTAACGCCCACAAATCGCAAAAAACTGAAATTGCTGAAATCTCAGGAACTATTGCAGATAGAAAGTTGAATTTCAGAAAGTATAATCTTTAGATGACAGCGCATCTTATAGTGGTACTACTATCCGGCCACACCCACCCATACGCCCACAAGGCTCAAAAGACCGTTTTCGGATTTTCTAGAAAAGCTGATATCTCGGTAACTATAAGAGATAGAAAGTTCGGATCAAGCATGTATGTTTCTATGATGCTCCCAATGCGAATTGTTTTTTTCCGATCACGCCACGCCCACTCTAACGCCCACAAAACCCGAAAAACCAAAAATGCAAAAATCTCGAAAACTATAAAAGCTACACAATTTTGCTTAGGAACACGTATTTAGGAGATGCCTCTGCAACTTGCCACGAAGTTGCTTCAGGCCACACCCACTCTAACGCCCACAAACCGCGGAAAACTGTGGAGTCTATAATATTATTATGAATGCCTTCTTTTGACCTTTTGTAACTTATTTCTGTTAATATCTATCGATTTACAAAAGATTTTTCAAATCGGAACATTATTTCGCTATTTATGAAGAAATTAAGGTTATAAGGCTCCACATGGGCAGTGACGTCACTATAAGCATACTCAACATACTTCCTCTGACAATAGGTGGCTCCTTGTGAATTTCCACTAGCAAAATTAATATTTTAAAATTGTGTAAAACAGTAACGGGTATCTTATAGTCGCGGCACTCGACTATTGCGTTTCCTCTTGTTTTGTTTTTGATTCGTTAACCAACCTTGAAAATACTTAATTGACTTCATTGCGAATATTATATAACCACCAAAAACTGCAGCAGTACGAAAGCCAAGCAGCAGCTGGCACTCAATCTGAATATGGAAAGGTAATATCCCCATATATTCCCCAACCATCGACATATCAATCGCAATCGCCATCGCCCGTCGCCCTTGCTCGCACGCACTCCCTTCTCGCATTTAAGAAGAAAGCAGGCGAATAGGGAAATCCACGCTACGCAATAACTATATCCCTCACACGTGCTGTCGTTCTCATGATCCAAACAAACAAAAAAGAACAACCCAAATTATACATGCAGTTCAATGATATCATTTATTATTATTAAACAAATTCCAAATTGAAAAAAAAGCTATGCGGCGAGGAAGCTCATCGAACTTTTGAATTTTGCTTTGTATGAATTTCTGCATTTGTAGTGGTAAATCTGTAGTGCAAATTGGCAATTAACAATTTAATAATTTTCGTTTGATTACTTTTTATGATTTCTCATTTTTCCTTTCGTTACGTTTACTTTTACTTTACAACGTTTTTATTTAACCTCATACCGAAAATTGTTAAACCGACAAAATTAAATTCTTACTAAACCAACGCATTTCTTTTTTCGCGCATCTCAAATCCCCAATCCACCAAACACATTTGAAAATTATCGAATGTACTCATCGACCGATACGATCATATGTAGCGAGCTCCCCATTCGCCCGCCGCCAACGCCAGATCAAGTGCCATCCTCATGGTGGAATCCCATTTGTTGTGATAAGAGTCTGTTGGTCGGAACCTACAAGCATGGCTGTGAAATGTATCGTCAAATGCGGGCCGATCCCAATCTGTGCTTTGTCACCCATGTGGGCGCCGGTGCGGCCAGTGACGATTTGGCTGTCACGAATTTGCCGATGTAAGTTCTAAAAACGAATAAAACCTAATTAAATCCGGTGTGTTTCAGCGAATCTTAGTCATTAAGTCAATTTCGAAAATTCGAATTCGAAAAAACATCAACATCAATAATTAATCGTTTATATATTCGTTTCTAAAACACACCGGGTTTAAATACATATGAAAGTAGTTAGCATCCACATGCGAGTGCCATTACATACGCCACTCACAAGTACTAAAATTAAGAGATGTCCAAAGCTCAGATACCCCGAGATAGATGTGGTTGGTGACAATCTCGAAACTGAAGGAAACGAACAGGAAGTGCTTAAATTCATTTCCATTCCCATTCCCCACGCACACACGCACTCATCCCCGAATCGTGGCATTGAAGTATGCTTAAAATGTTCAACTAAGCCTAAATAAGTTCAAGAGTTTTGTAATTTAACTATTAAAATATTACCATAACATTTCTATAGCTGAAATATTGGGTGATCGTTTTAATCAAATTATAAAGCAACAGCTCCTTGGCAAACCGTTGCTACCATGTCCCCCATTAACACACACATTGAAAGCATATTGATCCATTGACATTGCGCTGAATATGTGTGTGCGTGTGTGTTGTAAATTTTTTCTCTCAGTGTAATTGCGTTGGGCATGATCTCCGCGATACATAATCAATTGCAAAGTTAATGAAGTTGTTACTAATTTTGAAATCATTTTTCTGGAACCACAGAAACGAAGACGATGCAAATTCAAAGCACGATGATGGCGATGAGGTGGACGACGATGGCACCACCACGACTAAAGACTCTGACTCCACCAAACTCACCGGGGGCGACAACAAGGACTCGCTTCTTGACCCGGAGCGCCCCAGTTCGTCGGGTAAGAGCAGCAGCAAAAGTGGCATCAGCGGCAACGACAAAACGGAATGCGAAAAAGATGCCACAACCGTTTCCGAATCCTCATCCAACTCCGAAGCTGTGCCGGGCAAGGGTAGCGAAGTCAATGTGGTGGACGCCCAGCAGGACGCACTATCAGCAACTCCAGAATCGGCAGATACATCAGATCCTGAAATAAGTAAAGAGCAAGCACCAGTTCCAGCCTCGGTTTCCCGTGATCCGGTCGACTCCAGTTCGCCGCAGGCGTCAGGAGAAGTCCAGGAGACGGGGGCCAAGGCTGGCGATGCCAGCGAATCAGACATCGAATCGGAGAAAAAAATAACCGAAAAGGAAGCAACGGAGTCAACTGCTTCTGCTTCTGCTGGGGAAACCAAAAAAGACAGCGCTGCCATTGCCCGAGCTGAAAGCGATAAAGCGGAATCATGCACTAACAATGCTACCACAAACATCTCCACCACCACCACTACTACTACCATTACCAATACCACCACCAATAATCCATCATCCAAAGCGGCTAACTCTAACAACACCACCGACCATGCTAACTCCAACTCACATTTAGGCTTGGACGAGGAGGAGAGCGTCGCAGGCAGCTATCCGCCCACCGTGGCAGCAGTTGAGGATGCCACCACCATGTGGCCGTCGATGCAGGACCTGAACACTCGGCTCCGGCGTGTGATAACCGCCTACCAGAGGAATTACAAGAAGGAGGAACTGAAGCTTCAGCAGAAGGCCAAGGTGAGTCCACTGTGACGTTTTATCACTAACCAAACCTTTGCCGCCCACCCCCACATCAGTGCCATTTTATCCATAATTAAAAATACCGATAATAATACATTTTTATTATTAAACAAAAGTTTTAAATTGCTTGTCTTTTTAAAAAATCAATTTAAAATCTTCCACTTGAATTCAGATAGTTATTAAAGGAATTATTGTATTTCTCCGAACATAGATTAATTTGAAATGTGTGTTGCCTTACCTAAATTTCGTATTATTTTTAACTTACCAATTATATGTTCTTTGATTATGTTGTAGTGTCCAGTGTTGAAAATACGTAGTTTTGTTGCTTAGCTGTTGGCCGTAGTTAGTTGCGAACCGTGCACCGTAGTTAGCGTACAGAACGGACAGAGGACGGAGACTAGAGACTCGGACGTGGAAGCGGTTCCGAACGGCAACCGAATTAGATTACCATACAAAGCATACGAAATTAAAATGGAAAAAAGATAATAAACTAAACAGCCAACAGCTGATTAACAAAACTATGTAAAACGCTGACGGAGGATTGCACTTATATCCTTACCATAATGTTCATCCCAATAAACTCATCTCTGCCATTCCTTCAAATCCGCGACATTTTGTTGCTACATTTGCGATGTTTCCAACTCCTCCAACTCTTTTTCTGTGATTATCACATTTGTCCCACAGCTCCAGGCACTGGTTTCATCGACGCCCCCGCTTTCGGTTCCAACCACACCCACCCTTCAGTCCATGCAAATGCAGCTGCAGAGCGGCTCGGCAGGCAGTGGGTCCGGAGTAGGATCTTCTGGCCAACACGATGCCAGTGGACGAAGTCTCCAGGCGTTAATGCAATCACAGGGGGCCAGCACATCCTCAGCAGCGGCGGCAGCAGCAGCTACCGGAGGATCCGGTGTCGGCTCCGTGCAAGTTGGCACGGGCGGAACGGGAGTAATGCCAGCTATGCCCACCGCCGCCGACATCAGCCTAATGCTTAGCATCCTCAACACCACAGATGTCAGCCAGCTGGCCAACTTGGATATCAATAAACTTGCCATGTACCTGGTCAGCATGAATAATGTACGTTAGTGATGAGTACCTCTTCTCTATATATTTATAACCACTTACACAGCCAATACGAACAATCAACCCCTTGCCCTTTCTTAATCAACCCCCACTCAAGCCATGGGTTGAAATCAATCGGTGATCACGCAAAAGCTATATAGCCTATAGGAAAGCCACCCTTTGAGACCCTAATAGACCGTGAACAGTCTAATAAACTCCCTTATTAAGAAACACAAACCAAAAAACACTGACATAAAAAACCACACCACTACACAAACTGCTGCTAACCCCACTTGTGTTACTCACTAACCTGCATGTGTTGTTAAAAAATCGAAGTATGAAAAATGAATTAACCATTTCCCCATCGTATTACTAATTAGTCTGCGTTGCAAAATATGGTAGAAATTTTAAAGAGCTTATCCGAATTTCAAGTTATTCCGACCAAAAATCTCATAAAAACGACCTTCACTATCTTGACATTTAATGCCTTAGTGTGTAAGTTAAAGGGCGTGATTATAACATACCATTTAAGAGGACGATAGGGTGATTTACGAATACGCTTTTAACATTTTCTAAAAAATATCGATACCACACAATTATCGAGAAATCTGTTGTGGCTGTTGTTGTAAAACAAAAAAGCTCAGAAAATCAGTCTAAATAAATGGGGAAGTCAGCACCCACCCGTCGTTTGGTGCCTGGTGTTTGGAGGTGAAAACCGTTTATTCGCCATGCGACTGTGCATCCTCCCTTTTTCTGTGTGAACATAAGGATTGAACAAACTGAAGCGGGCGACGAGGAATTGAAAACGAGGCAGCGACAGAGCCGAAGAACGACAACAAAATACACTTATGCTTAATTTATGCAAAATAAAAGAAATACATACACTCGAATTTGAACCCGAAATGCGGTGTACACGATGCTCAGATGGTCCTCTCGTCGGATCTCCTGTTCTCTTTTCTCATCTCATTTCACCTCATCTCGCGAATGAGAATGCGAACGAGCGGCCAAAACGGAAGAAATGTCAAACCACTTTGCACACCCGGCGGCAGAAACAAAAACAGCCGCACACCAAACCCAACCACAACTCCTCTGCCTAGTACGAACCCGTTGCTTTCGGTTCCTTACTTTTGCTTCGCTTTTGTGATGCCCCTTGAGATGGCAAAAACAACAGCAAGTACACGGCAATACAGTGGAATCCGCAACGTGTTGGCCGAAAGGCTTGGGTCATATTATAAGCCAAAGCCAAGAGTCGGAGTCAATTGTACAACCTGACGCTTCGAGTCGCCGCATTTCCACTGTAGTGGTGGACGTTAGAGATGCGCCAGGTTTTGGCTAATAGCCATGAATCCTTCGATACGTGTCACTATAAGCACATAGGTTTTTCGAGTATGTTGTGATTTAAAATATAAAGGATTGGACAATCTGAAGTGTTTGAAGGAGTGAAGTAAAAAGGAATGATACAGAAACCTTTTGCTCTTTTGGTCATCACTGACTGCCCGACACCGCCATTATCAAAAGGCAGAAGGGCAGCGCGCCATTAATCAAACCCCCAACAACGAGAACAACAACAGGAGTGAAAAGGGAATGAGGAAGCGAGAGGCAGCAGCAAGAAGAGCAAACCCAAGTGGTTGTAGCTGCTTTTACCGATGTTGTTGTTGTATTGACGAACTGAAGTTGGTGACGATGATTGCTGCGGATGCCGCGACGTAAGCAGTGGCGTTGGTGGACGACTTGGTTTTATTGCTGTTGCGTTGCTGTTGGGCATTCGATATCATCGGGTGGTTTTGGTTTTGCTGCCTAGCCTATGTAAGTTGGCTGTACTTTCGCTGCCACCGTTGCCGACGCTGTGTGTATTAGTTTTCCATGCGAGAGTGCCTCACTCTCTGTCTGTGTGCCTCACCCGCTGCCTCATTCGCTACCTCCGCTGTCTGCAATGTGTATATGTAATTTTACATTTTCTGGATTTATCCAATGTTTAATTTTTTCTTTTTCGTGTGCGCCCACCCAAAAGTATGAGGTGGTAGGTGGCTGCTGTTCCTTCTGCTACTCCCACGAGCTGAATTATTCAGTGCAATATGTGACTTGGAAGTGAAAAGCAGATGGGGATAATGGTGACCTGTTTCGGTTCCTGTCCTCTTCTTTCGCATACCGCGAGTTTTCGATAAAGCCGCCTAATTGTGCTCATTTGAGCTCCCATTCCATTGCCTCCTCTCCCACCTCCCCGTTGGCTTTTTCGACGTTATACTGGTGCTGCAGCTTAAAAGCATTTTAGCTATGTTTTGTTGATTCCTTTTTGCATTTGCAACTTGTATTTAGAACAACTAGCCTAGAGAAGTTGTTGGCTTTTTTCACGAGCCATTCTTTTATGATCCCTTCTTCGGTTCTTAGTCTTGCTTGGATGCTTTTTCTTTTGGGGCTATTCGATGTTGTTGCTCGCTTTTAGAACGGCCATTGCTGTTGGTGTTGCCATTCGATTTATTATTTTATTAGCATTTGGCTGCCGCTTATACCGTTTACAGTGGGGCAAATCAGACCAATTATCTCTTTTGGTTCGTTCAGCTCAGGTTTTGATTATCAACTATTGAGAATATCCCACTGTGCGCGTGCGCCTCACGTGTTGCTGCCGCGTCTCATGGTTGCTCTTTCTCTCTCCGCTGAGTACATTTGGGAGATGCAGCTGCTGCGTCGGCGCATTATATACTTTACACCTGTCAGTCGTAAAACACTTGGAAAAGTTGTCTAACCAATGTGCCGAATGCTCAGTCCATCAGCATGGGCTACGTGTCTGCGCTTGAGTCTAAATCTCATTGAAAACCGAGCAAGCCTACCTGCGATTTCTTCGTCTTCTTCGACTTCTGCGTGATTAAGTTAAAATTTAGGTTCTCTCTGCGGTGATCTTGCACGCGAGTGGTAGTAGTGAGAGAGTGCATTGACGAAGATGTGTCGCCATTGCATATCGGTTGTGAGATTATATCTGCCCTGCTCACTCATGCGTGTACATATGTATTTCTGTTTGCGCGATATCCACTCAGGGGCTCGCTCACTCGTGTGGTATCTGCATCTGTATCTTGCGGATTGATTAATAATCTCGTTTCATTTTGCTCTGACTACGTGCTTATCGCACTTTGGCCCTGCTTCCATCTTTCGCTCTGGCTTTCTGACTGTCCCTTGCTCTCTTTTCGCATATTTCTCTTTGTACGTGTGTTTCTGTATTATGTAGATAGCCCAAATGTCAAATTAATTAAACAATTGCAAAATGGCAATAATCTAAGCCGGAATAATGACTAGTTAATCAAATACTCCTAACCATTGTCTTCAAAATAGTTTTACTTAGGCTTATATTTAAATATGCAGTATATTATTGATTCAATCTGAACTCTGAACAGACTACCATTAAATATTAGATTAATGTATTGAAAAGCGATAACTTATACTTCAAAAATATAATTGATTCCTTAATAATTTCCCGATATCGTTATTAGCGATAAAAATTATTTCTTAACCTTACTTTGTACTTGCCTTTAGATTTAATCCTTTTTCTGGCTTTACTCTTCCTATTATCCTTCGGCTGTCGCTGCTTCTGCTATTATTCTTTTATTTTATCCTTTTTTCGCCGTGTCCCGCATTAACCCCCCTATTTATCCGTTTGACTGTCGCGTGCTCTTTCTCTCTTTTATTCTCTATGTGTCGTCAACAGTTTTTGTGGTACATTTGTTTCATTGCCTTGGCTTTTTTGCCTCTGATTCTGCAGTATGTTTGGTCCCAACTCCTCATCCGCTCCTTGCGCTTGGATACGAGTGTGAGTGTGTGGCAGGCTGCTGCTTCTTTGCTTACATTACACAGTTGACACAATGTGCTTGCTATGGCCGCTTCTTCTTAAACTCGTCCATCCAGTGCACACTCACTCACAGCTATGTTTCTGGTGCTCTGCGTTGAGTCAGACGCTCTCTCGAAGCCGAAGTCGACGCTCTCGTTCTGTCGCTCTCCCCCGTTGCATGTGACGCTCATTCACCTCAGTCGGCATTCGGTCTCAGTTTTTAGCCCATCTCATTCATATTCACATTCACCCAAAACGGCGTTTGGCTTAATCTCACGATTGTTTGGTTTCCCACTCTTCCGCGCTTCCTCTCTTCTGAGGTCTCTCTTCCAAGCTGATTCGCATTCGATTTTAGCCGCTGTCGCCGTTTGTTGTTTGTGTGTGTGAGGAGTGTGTCTTGTATTTTAGTCCGCAATGCGCTCCGCTCATTATTTGTTTGAGCGCCGCGGTGTAAAGTTGTAAAAAGTCCAAGTGCTCGTGGAAACTCGAAGCGAGACGGGAAAAACCGAAACGCGATAAATCGCGAGAATGCGAGTGCGCCAGAGGGAGAGGGAGTGATAATAAAACGGAATGGAATAATGTAATTGCCGAAGCAACAACAGCAACTACGTGCAAATAGTTGTCATTGGGCGCAATGAATGATAATTAGTGCTTAATTGAAATCAATAATCATGACGAAACCGTAAGGCTTCGATTTCGCCCCAATAAATCCTTAATAAGTAGTGAGACTGTGATATTTTTGTATGTCCGAAAATGGAGGTTATTAAACCCATGGACTTTAGTAGCTTCTCCGCGTTCTGCGAGCATCTTAACAAATCTTCACAAATCGCCACTGCGATACCAACAACGTTAAACAATGGAAATGACACTTTTTTGGAGGTAAATGCAAAAAGAAACAACTAATGCTTTGGTAGAAAATAATATATTGACATATGTACGTGTGTCTCTTAATTAAAGTGAGAATGAAAAAGTGCAGAGAGAATATGCAAAGAATGTGTGCAGGCAGCAAATCAAGAAAAAGTAAATGAGACTCAAGAGTGCGAAAGGGAGAGAAAAAAGGGGACGAAACCAGTGGGGCCTGTTGGTTTCCTCTCGCTCTCAATTCGCTGTGCAGCGAGCGAAAATACAAAACAATAAATTTATGCCTATAGATTTCACATGACGCAGAATGGAAAACGTCGCCCTCGTCGTCTCCACTTACACGGCCAGTGAGGGCGAAGGTGCTTGTAGTGTTGGCGATGATGGTGTTGGAGGAGTCATGTAAAACTACCAAAGCAAAACAGCTAAACAAAATAGGTAGAAGACCCCTAACACATGAGGTTAAAGTATAAGTTCAGTTTGGAAGGGCTTTCAGAAGAAAATAAATTATATCAAAGCACGGTCAATGACGAAATTACAGACATAAATAAAAGTTGTTTATTGATATAATCAGCCTTAAAAACCAATGTTGATTTGCTGTTTCTTTAATTTTGCAAACGTAGTTTGATAACCGTCACTTAACACAAAAGTACCGAAGTCTTATCCGTTTTTGAAGTTCTAAGCTGTGCCTATTTAAATTGGCTTTTTCGCGGTTGCTTACTGCTCCCCTTTCCTTTCCTTACCCTGCCGTTCGTTGTATAACGTAGTCATCGCCATCGGTTCTACTAATAATCATAATCAATCGCTCGAGTCGCCTCACACTTGTATCGAGTAAATGCGATGGCAAAGAAGGAAAGAGAATGCCATGGGAGCGAGCAAGAGGTAAATGGATAGTATGCGAGGAGAGAAGATAGAAGAGGCCTCGAGCCGCCATGGTTTTATCTCCTTTTGTCGTTTGTTTTTGTTTGTCCCCCTTTTCGGATTTCGTTATGCCGTCGTTCGTTGGCTGCTTCTGGGATTTGGTGGAGGACGAGTAAAAAAAAACCGTTAGTTGTATAAACAGAAACAGGGAAGCAGAACAAGACACGGGAGACAGAGTTACCAACCTGCGCGCCACTTGGCATCCATTTCTGTTTTCGTTTTTGAAAAAAAGGATTTCAGGCTATAAACACACTTCAAAAAAAATTCCGGATATGTTAGGATTGTAATTAGTTAACGATTTGGCTTTGCTTTTATTTGTCAACTTGCAGACCATTATCTTCCTTCTCGTATACATTTTTTATAGTCAGAAAAGGTACACGCTAGCTTGAGCTACATTTGAAAACATAACTACAATTTTGAATGAATTACCTTAAACACGAAGAAGGCCAAACGATAAGAAGTATCCCAGTTGAAGTTGATATGTTGTCCACTGAGTTGCATTACGACATTCCCGAATAACACGCAGTTTTGCGTTTTTAGTTCAGTTACTTGCTCCTTTATTACTTATGTTTTTAAGACAGGGACTGCCCCTATCATTATTATCATAATATCCAAACGAACATACAAAATGGGGCATAGAGTTTTCGTAATGTGGGTGGTGTGTGCATATGAGCTTCCTTGGCTGTGGCGCGTGCAATTGGTCTCATAGGATTCATTTGTCTCCGTCTCTGTTTCGAGCCTCCTTCGCCTGCCGTCTGGGCGCCATTGCTTAGTATGGCGTATGTATATGTGCCCTTTGTGCTCATTGTTCCGTGTCTATATTTCCACCTTGTTCTCTGCTGTCGCCCTTTGGCCTCTGTTTCCCAGTCGGAGCGTTATTAGGGGTGTAAAACGGAGTTTTTACTTTTATTATGATTTTATTGTATTTCCACTCTCAATCGCCTCGCTTGTTGTGCCTTTGTCAGGACTTTTGCGCGTGCCATTCGCATTCAGTCTTCCTGTTAACTTTCATTTTGTTTTTACCTTTCGCGAAAATTTTGTGTGTAATTTCAATTCTAGTATTTTCTTTCATAGAAAAAGATAACGACAATGGTGACGAAGGAGGTAGTCGTATCGCCACATCATACCACCATCATGAAACTTGCCTCGGTTGATCCCGTCTCTTGGGAGCAAAAAAGGGTGGTGCGATGGCAATGAGTCGATTCTTTTTAATTTCTTTTCTAATATATTTTTCCAACTAAGTGAAAGAACGTCCGCTTTGAAATTGGAAATGAAATAAAATGATAATTTCAGCAAATTTCTTGACAATAAATTGTATATCAATGTGATTACTGTAAACACACTTTTTTAGCTGATAACCGACAGCTTTTCTTATAAATAAAACTGAATTTTGAGCTGAATTAATGCGATACAATTTCCATAGTATTTCTTTATATCTGTGTTTTTATCGTAACAGCTTTATTATCGTTTCATAAATTAGATGTCTTTGTTTCATAACTTTAAATCTAAAGAGATATTCATGTACTCTGGCATTATTTATTAGTCATTTTTTTTTTAAATATTACATATTTTTTTGTCACTTTTACAGAAAATGGAGCGGCAGGGCAAGATGGAATTGGCGGCTAAGGAGCGTGAAGCCCAGCGCCTGCAACTACTTCCTAAGAAATGGAACCGTCGCGAGGAATACGAATTCCTCCGAGTTCTCACTGGTTATGGTGTGGATCTCCACCTCTCCACACCTATGAATTCCAGCAGTCCAAGTTCCCTATCCCCCGACTGGACCAAGTTCAAGCAGATGGCTCACTTGGAACGAAAAAGCGATGAAACACTGACGGACTACTATAAGGTATTTTTAGCCATGTGCAAACGGCAGGCAGGCTTAAAACTTACGGAGTCGGAGCGGGGACTTGAAGGTATTATTGAGGAAATAGAGAAGGAGCACGCCAAGCTTATTTTGGATCGCTTGGAAGTACTTGCCAAGCTGCGAGAAGTGGCTCGTAATCCCCTGCTCGAGGAACGCTTGAAACTGTGTACCAAAAATGCGGATACTCCGGATTGGTGGGAGCCTGGTCGGCACGACAAGGAGCTAATCACCGCCGTCCTCAAGCATGGACTATATCGTTCCGAAACCTTTATTTTCAATGATCCAAACTTTAGTTTTGGCGAGTCAGAAAAGCGTTTCATTCGGGAACTAGAAGCTCAAATCCAGCGAACCATCAAACTAGAGGCTTTTAATGCTGAAAAGGCCGAGAAGCTTGCAGCAGCTGAGAAAGCAGCGGCGGCCGAAAAGACGACTGCAGAAAAAGATGCTTCTATCAGGAATGAGGTCATAGATCTGGATGAGGAACTGATGACTGACGAAAGCGTTATCAAGAAAGAAACGCCTGAAACTGAAGTAAAAGATGAAATTAAAACGGAAGAAAACACTGAAAAAATCGAAACTGCTGGCAGTCACGAAATTAACAAATCTGAGGAAAAAGACTCCACAAAGATGGAAGCTGAAGTCAAGGAGGAAGGGGATTTAAAAGCAGAAACCCCGGAAAATGACGCCACGGATGAAATTAGAGACTGTGATAAAGATAAGACCCTTACTGAAAACTTGGTTCCAGTAGTCGAAGAAAACAAGCCGATCGAAGATAAAATGGAAATTAACGAGCCAGCAATAGCCGAAAATGGTCAAAAGGATACTTCGCCTGAGAAATCCACCGAGTCAAACGAGAAAAAATCTTCGGAAGAGTCAAGCAGTCCAGAATGTGCTGGAGGAGAAGAATCAAAAATGGAGGTGGATGAAGATGCCTCTAAAGCAGAAAGTAAATCTTCTGAAGATCCGGAATTAACCGAAAAGGAGTCTGAAGATAAGGCTGTGAAGGGTGAAGAAAAGAAAGATTCAAAAGAGGAGTCTAAGGAGCAAACCGAAGATAGGGAAATGGAGAAAAAATCGGTCGTAGAAACGGACCCCTCTGAGGAGCCCCCTATTGCAACTGAAACGGAGACAAATGTTTCGAAAAAGCCTTCTGGCGACCAGGAGATACTTGACTTGGGAGCTGGGCCTTCAGATCCCGACGATGACGAGGTGATGAAAGAGAAGGAGAAAGCTGTTGAGGAGGAGTGTAAAAAGCAGGCAGCCGAACTCAAAGCGCGCTTCCCGGACCTAGAAGTAATCCAACCAGCTACCGTTAAACAACAGAAGTTAGAGAAGCCCAAGCTAGAGATGTGCATGATCCGATGGTTCAAGGATTTTGCATTAGAGCGCCGTATTGCGCACATCGTGGCCTGTGTCGAGTCCGGAAAGTGGCCTGTGGATAGCAAGTACAGTGCCTTTGCTAGCTGCAAAGGGACCACTGATCTAAGCATTGCTCTGCATGAATCCATTCCTCATCTGAGCAGTTTAGATCGCCGCTCCACAACACCTGATGTTATTACCATTACAACGGATCAGGGTGTCACAAAGCACCTACAATCCTCGCATATTCAGCAGGTGGCCAGTTCGGCATCTTCCTCCTCGGGAATGCCCCAAGTAACACAATCAAAGCCTTCGTCTGCCAACAGTTTACCTGGCTTGGATGCCAAAAGCATAAATGCTGCGGTAGCGGCGGCCGTTGCTGCAGCTGCAGCGGGTGGAAATGCCACTTCCCTATCTTCCCTGCTTCCCGGAATGTCGCTCAGCGCAGCTACTGGCTCGTCAGCCGGTGGAGTGAGTGGACTAAACGTCCCAAGCACCGTTTCTGGAGTGGGCAAGAAGCGGAAGAGACACATCGCCATAGACGTAGAGACGGAAAGGGCTAAACTGCACGCCCTGCTCAACAGTTCGACAAGTAAGTGCAGCTCATAATCCGTTAAGCAAGTGCTTACTAATTAAATCTTATTTTCTTTTCAGTGGCACCCAAAGACTGGGAGAGTGAGATTGCCAACATGGAGGCTTTGACAGGCTCCTCTGGACGTGGACGAGGAGGTAGCTCATCCGCCCTGACTGGCATGCAGCCACCCCCAGCTCACCAACATGCTTCGCTCTCGCGACAGTCCTCTGGGCAGTTTAGCAAACCGGCTGTACCCGCCCTGAAGACACCGCCGCCCTCAATGGGCGCACCAATGGATCTGTCCTCAAGGTGGGTTCCTAAAAATAGATTGCATTTCTTGGTAAACTTATGCATTTAAAATTTCCTCGTCGCAGCTTACCGAAAATGAACATGACGGAGATGCTCAAGTCAGCCTCCAGTGCTGGAGCCATTGATTTGAGTGAGGTTCAGGACTTCTCTATGCCTTCCAAAAAGTCTAGTGTGCATGCAGCTCTGAGTTCCGCCTTTCCTTCAATGGGCAGCAAGAGCAAATTGGACGATACACTTAACAAACTAATGAAGAAGAACAATTGCGTAAGTTTTTAATCTAACCAGTTGGGATGGCTTGATTAATTATATATTTTTTTCCTTTTATTATAGACCATTGAAGAGCCTGTGATTGGCAAAGAGAAAAAACGCAAGAAGTTAGATGAGATCGTGCTTGGTCTATCGGCGGCCAAGGAGCAGAAGACTTTCCCTGACCCATCGCTGCCCTCCTCAAAGAAGCCGCAGATCCCGCCAAGCGTTTCTGTGACGCCAGCAAACCTGCAATCTTCGACCAGTCAGCAGTCCAACCAAAAACCCTTTACTATCACTGTTACCACAGTGCCCGGAAGTGAGTTTGAGTCTCTGCGCTTTTACTTTTTTCCGCCCGAGGATTGGCATCCAAAAGAGTTTCTCACTAATTTAATGTTTCTCTTGCAGAATCGAAGGGAGGATCGACAAGCGGCGGATCCGGTACCGGAGGAAGCTCATCGGCCAGCGGCGGAGGAGCCGGCGGAAGCGGACTGAGCGCCTTACAGAACATGGCAATGGGAGGTTTATCCTCCAAGGACAGCTTAAATGCCCTATTGGCCCAGACAATGGCAACCGATCCACAGACTTTCCTCAAACAGCAGCAAAAGATGATGCAGTTCCTTCCGCCTGCACAACGAAAAGCTTACGAAAATATGCTGGCCGAAATGGAGCAGGCTATGAAGATCAGCTCCAAGTTCTCAACCAACTCACCGCACGACGTCAAGGTCAACAAGTGGCTCTCAGATATGACAAGTCCACTAGGCGACCAACTCAGCATTGATTACGTAAGCGGTGCAGGGGCAGGTGGTTCTGGAAGTGCCAACAGCAGGCGCTCTAACCGCCAGCAGAGCAACTCATCTCAGCAGTCCTCGAATGCTACCCAAATGCAAAAGCAGCAGCAACAACAGCAACAGCAGCAACACTCGATGTCTGGTCCTCAGAATCTAACAGGAGAGGAACCTGTACCAGTGATCAACAAGCAGACTGGAAAGCGATTGGGAGGCAACAAAGCGCCGCAGCTAAAGCGACTTATGCAATGGTGAGTGTAAATTAAAAAATGAAAGCAAATATAATTTAACGCAATTCTCTATTATAGGCTCACTGAGAACCCCAATTACGAAGTGGATCCAAAGTGGCTGGAACAAATGCAAAATCCTATGTCAGCGCCGTCACCCAAACCAACATCGATAGACAGTAGCTATGGCTCGTCTGCTGTAAAGTCGCATGGTGGTCGCCCTTCGTCCAACTCGAGTAACACCTCATCATCGTCCCACACCCAACAACAGCAACAATCATCGTCAACACAATCGTCAGCGGGAGGAAACCCTGGAAGCTCTAAGAAGTCATCCCGCCAGCAAACCGCTGCATCCGCAGCCCTGGACCAAGCTGCATTACAATTTGGCTCCCTAGCTGGCTTGAATCCAAGCCTGCTAGCTAATCTTCCTGGACTAGGAGCATTTGACCCGAAGAATCCACTGGCTGCCTTTGACCCCAAAAATCCGCTGCTATCCATGTCATTTGGAGGAATGCCCGGAATGGGTAATATTCCTGGACTAAGCAACCTAAACAACATGAATTTGTTTGCAAGCTTGGCGGGAATGGGAGGACTAGGAAATCTGGCGGGGATGGATACCCAATCGCTCGCTGCGCTCATGGCTGCTGCCGGACCTACTCTTGGAGGGTTGACAGGCGCGTCAGGAGGAGTGGGTTCCGGCAAGAGCCAGGCGCAGTCGGGTGGTGGCTCTTCCGCCGCTTCGTCATCCTCGTCGGCCAGTAAGAAAAAGCAGCAGCAACAGCAGCAACAAGCTCAAAATGAAGCTGCTCAGTTAGCGGCTGCCATCAGCGCTAGCACTGGAGGATCTTCTGGCGGAGCTGGTAGCAAGAACGCAGCAGCCTCTGCATCTCAATTGGCGGCAGGATTTCCTTTTCTTTTTCCGAATCCATCATTGCTGTATCCGCCCATGGGGTTAGGTGGTCTGAATCCGTATTCCTTGGGAACTAGTGGTCTTGGTTCCGCTTACGATCAGCTGGCCCAGCAGTATAACCTGCTAAATGGAGCCACTTCATCCGCTTCCAACACGAGTTCTACGCAGTCTAAGTCTCATCAGTCGCAATCAAAGTCCAGTCAGGCGAGGAATGCAACAGCGTCTGCAAACTCGGCAGCGAGTCTAATGAATGCGATGGCCAGTATGGGCGGTGGAACCAACACAGTTACCACTCCTTCCTCTTCAGCTTCAGGATCCGGACGTGGAAGGCAGTCGAGTAACAGAAACCAACCGCAAACCACACCCACAGCGGCAGATATGGCCCAACTGAGTAGCTTACTAATGCCAGGAGCAGATCCACATCTTCTGGAATCGCTGAGCCGGATGAGTAACATGGACCTAGCACAGGCCACTCGATTGATGAGCTCTTTGGGAATGCCACCACTGCCAGGAACCCCCAGCTCTTCTGGAGGAGGTAACTCATCTTCGAGCAAGAGAAACAGCCAAGCGGCTAATGAAGCCAACGCACAAGCCAAGGAACAGCAAAAGTGGTTTGAGAGTTTGACCCGCGGAGCTCTACCAGCAGATTTAGCTGCTCTGCAGGCTTTTTCACAGGGAAAAATGCCATCGACATCCGGATCAAGTGCGGGTACATCGACTTCCTCAAGTAAGAGTTCGAAAGCTGCAGCGGCAGCTGCGGCAGCAGCATTGCCACAAATCCCTGGAATGTCCAGTGATTTTTCACAGGCCTTTTTAGCTGAAATGGCCGCCCAGGCAATGGCGGCTGCTGGCGGATCCTTACCACTGAGTGGTCCTGGGTCCTTAGCTAGTTTAGCTGGTTTAACTGGGGGCTCTGCAGGAGGAGCCGGTGGAAGTTCCTCTGCTTCAGGAAGTGGCAGCCACTCCTCTTCGAAACGACAGCGAGAGCAGGATGCCTTCAAGCAACAGATGGACTACTACACCAAGACCTTAGGTCTGGGATCAGGAATATCGTTGATACCTACTTCTTCGGCGGGAGGATCATCTACATCCTCCAGTTCGGCTAACGCAGCAGCAGCTGCCTACGCTGCAGCGTTAGACGCAGAGCAACAACACCAACAACAGCAGAAGGCGCTTTCTAAACGTTTACGTGGAGATATACATCCCACAAAAGAGGAACTCGCCGCTGCTGCCCTCGCTGCAGGACTACCATTGAATCTTGGAGCCAGCATGAGCAGTATAGAAAAGAGTCTTAGAGGCGGAAGCAGCTCCAGCAGCAGCTCCACGCCAGCGCCTATGCCTTCGGAACAGGATAAGGTTACGCTAACCCCCCTTAATGCATCTGGAGGTGGATCAGGCTCTTCCTCCAGTTCAGCAGCTGCTGCGGGATTGGCAGCAAATCTGCCAAGTCAAACAACAATAACCATTGCTCCTCCCATCAGTAGTGGGGCCAGCACTAGCAGCGAGCGTTCCGAGCGGTCTGAATCGCGTATATCGCTTACCATCACTAATGCTGCTGATGCAGCGAAACTACCTCCGCCCTACGAAGAAGCCGATGAGCTGATTATACAACCAATTCTCAAGAAACCAACTGCCAATCCCGGCAGCAGTCATGGCGGAAGCGTGGACGATCTCGATACAGCTGAAAATACATCAGCGGCTAATTTGAGTGGTTCATCTTCCAGTTCTGCGGCCGCGGCGGCTGCAGCAGCGGTAGCTGAAGAAAATCGACGTTCATCTAACCGCCTGAAGCGTCCAAGGTCTGGAAACGAACAGGGGTCCAGTTCTGTTGAAGGACAGCCACCTGAAAAGAGAAGGGAACTCCGGTCTACCAGGCATACCCGCTCTTCAGCGGATGCCAGCACTCTAAATCTTTCCACAGGAAGCGAGTCAGGTGCGGAGGATCGGAATGAATGAGTATTGCGCAGATCCGAGCGCCAGCGCTAGCAGGATGACATGGCTCCACCGATGAGCGGAAAAAAATCACGTGGAGGAGGAGCCAATACCACCATTAGACAGCCACCACAACAAACGGAGCAGAAAATCAAGGACAGGAAAATGCTGAAAAACCAGCTGCAGATGCGGATGCAAACTAGATCGAGGCGAAAATTGAATGCTAGGCTAACTGTTACCACTAGATCCCTTAGGCTTAAAGTTGTGTAAAGTATAAGAAGCGTATATAAACTATATATAGAAGTTAAGAGCCAATCTAGAGAGGGCGTATTGGGGTTTGTCGCAATGCCCTGCAGTTCGACACTGCTGCAACTACGTCTGAATTTAAGGACAGAGCCGCCTTCCCCATTTAACGTCGTACTCAAGTTCGGTCCGCTGCTTAAATGGAGCTTGATATACGAATCGTTTTCCCCTCTCTGATTGCTTAAATATTCATACAGTTACGAACATAATTAAAAAGCGCTTATAATTTAATTGTAACAAGACAAAGTTCTGCTGCATAAAGATTATCCATTTAAATTATTGCAACTACACACATATTTTATAAGCGACAGCAAAGTGTTTACATTATAGACTTTTCATATATAACGAGAAGAGAAATAGATATCTGGGTTTCCTGCGCTGTCCTCACACATGCAAAGTCTCTATAGATGAACCTGTACATAATTTATAATCTTTAAATGGATCTTGCATTGCTTAACCGTTTTTAATACAGTACAGCACCATGTATTCTCATACTGAAACATATTCGACATCTCCACCACCCTCAACGTTATTTTGTATACTGTTCTCTCTCCTTTGTCTGTGTGTCCCTGAATACTGCGTGTAATTTTGATAATTTTAATTTTGTAATTAGTGAATGTGAAAGGATTGGAATGCTGAAGGCTAAATTCAATAGTTCAAGCGTATATTTTAATTTCCTGTAATTGTAATATGTCCCCTAAAGAAGTAAACAAAAGAACCCTGGCGAGTAACTAACAAATGGAGAAAATGTTTATTCAAAAATAGAACCTTTTAATTAAATCAATTTTAATGTAATTGAGAATCGGAGAATAAGAATCTTGCACATTTGAAGGGCAGCAATGCTACAACAAGGGCACTTCTTATAATTATTCAGTTGAGTAAAGTAATTATTGATCACTTTTGTTCGCACTTTATGAGAACAATTTATTTAGAGACGTTTAGAAAGCCACACACAAAAAAGAGAAAACAAACAACTAACATATATTGCATACCTAACTTGTAAGTATAACTTAATAAATATTATAATACAACGCAGAACAGCAAACAAAAGCAAAATCATCCAGAAGAAGCAACTACAGCAACAGAAAGTAACAAGCGTCAACTATTGATATTGATGATAAATAAATATATATATTAAAAACAGTAAACTGAGATTTTCTTTGAATGAATGAAAATGAAGAATGATTAAATAATGGAACTCATACCAACACATTGACAAAGCACACCAAAAAAGTGTTCGACGGTCTTAGAACGCCTTTTTTTCTTCAATCACGATTGAGACATTTGTGTGTTCATCATGGTTGATATATTTCAGTCCAGGCGCTTAAAATTTTACGAAACATAATTATCATCTAGCAACTCAACATTTGAAAATTAATCGACAACCAGTATAGGCTATGATCTGAGGCACAACTTAACCTTGTCCATTAAATCCAAAGAGTAACACTCAAATAAAATTATTTAACAAATGGTGTGCAATTCGGTGTTGTATTTAAATATTTCTTCTACACATTGTATATCGATGTATATTCACAGTAATTGAGTAAATTTAAAAAAGACAAAAGCTGCTCTCGTAGTTTTTGATAAACAATAAGTTTTAAATTTCTATATATATATATGTAAGCAATCGAAAATGTTGAATTGGTATGCTTAGGGGTGATAGAATAAAGGATGGGGTGTGGTGTTTACCTCTTCAGATTCGGCATAAACTTACAATAATTACAAAACCGTATAAATATGTATAATATACAATATATAAATCTGTGTATCAGCAGTTAAAGCACTTGGCCCGCTTTTTGCTTTGATGCGTAAGTAAACTTTGAGTCTATATAACACTGCCCTATTTTCTCTTACTAAAAAGGGTTGCTGAAGGCTTGTGTTAGACACGATAAATATACATATATTCTTTTTAAGTTAGATATATTTTACCCTCAGTTAAAAAGAACAAGGATATTTCACGGGGAATTCCTAAGCTTTTCTGTTTTTCGTATACTACCTGAAAAATTTGCCCCTAATTGGCTTCCCCAAACATTGTCTTATTAGTAACAATATTGAAGGGCAGTATAATTTGCGCATGTTTTGCTAAGGGCTTTTGGCTTTTCTTTTTTCTGGCGTCCAAAAGATGCGGTCCCATTTTTATTAATGAAATTGCAGAAAGAGAGAGCGCTCGCACGCTTCTTCAAGTAAAGCTTGCTGGCGAAGCTTCTCTTCAGGAGTAAGTTCTTTTACCAGTTCGTCGAAACCATCGTCTGAATAGGCAGGTTCCTCATCTAGTATGCTCCCGTCAGCCTCATCCCCGACGCCTGATGGCAGCAGTGGCTCTCCTATGATGCTGCGAATATCATTGGGGAGTGTTTCTGAGGCCTTGAGTTGCAGGTAAATGGCCTCAGCAATCTGCAAGGTCTTTTGAACATCTACATTTCCCGCTAGTTCGTTGACGTGCTTTAGGATTTCTGTGAACTCATACTGGCTACCGATAATTACATTCGTCTCCTGATCCAGGATGGCTACCGAGAAGAGTAGGTGGAAATTGGGACATGGCAGACGTGTCCATAAACACTCCCACAACTTTAGGACGTCTTCGTTGCTTAGCTCCCGTTTGTACCATACCAGCAGCCATCTAAAGCAGAAGTACATGTTATCCGAGTCATGGGATCGCATATAATTGAATAGCGGAGCATTGGCGAACTCAATCAAACGTCGAACCTGGGCGAATTGCATCTTCATGCCCGCCTGGTCCATGTCAAAGTTGTTATGCACGAGCTCCATGAAACCTACGAAGCACCAGAAGGCGTCTACCTCGTTCACCTGGACCTCCAGAATAGGGGCAAGCAGATCCGACATACCTTGTACGTAGCCAATATCAAAGTTGTACATTACGTAGGTCATAAGGATACCCTGCAGTAGGGCTAGGTTGGGATTATCCTCGCCGGCAAAGAATTGCAGCGAGCGATCTGTGCGTTTTACATCCTTCTCGATCTGACACTTGCGTTCCCGGTAACCGCAGAAGTTAGCTTCTTGAGCCGTTGTCATGGCAAGCCACTGAGCCTTCATGTTATAGTACTCTAAAGACTTTTGTTTACGGCGTTCGATTCGCTCCATTTGGGTATCGGACCATTGGTAATAGTTAAGAAGAAACTTCCACACCTCTGTCCGTAAGCTGGGCACGATGCCACCACGGAAGATTATCTCCTTAATGCGGACGCTGTCCGAAATTTGACCTTCAGGTGTCTGGAACTCCAGCCACTGTGTCTCAGTGAGAGGAAGCCCTGTAAGAAAACACCATTTAGTATACTTTGCTCTGATCTTAAAAAATGTTTAAATTTATTCATTCTATTCTATAACAGATTAAGTCGCTTTAATACCAACTCACCTCTCTCCACACGCTGACGATCCGGCAAGTTGTTGACAATTCTCTCGTCCTGAGCATTTAGGTTTTCCAGTTCACTGTCGGCCGGGGATTTGTCTTCACTACCTCCACGACTTTGTGCGTTCGAGGAACAGGCACTATTGGTGCTGCCACTCAGGCCTATTATCTGGTAGTTGTCCGGCGAGGTCTGGCGATCGCCGGAGATTAATGATCCCGGTCGGAATTTGGAAGAGCGTTGGAACGGTGGCTGTACGTAATCTGGAATGTTGCCTAGGAACCCGGCAAGCTTGTTAGGCAGCCAGCTTTCGCGTGGCAAAGGGGTGGACTTAATCTGACCAATGTCAAGCTCGGCAAATGTTTTTCTAAGCTTCTGGTTTTCGGTGGTCAGGATAGCATATTCTTCGCCGCCGCTGCGGCTGGTCTCGGCGCTCTCGATTAAGTGTTGATCACGCATAGAACGCACAAAAAGGTCTGCGTTCCCGTGCTGGAAGAAAAACTCGCTGTGGATGCCACCGGCTCCTTTGCGCATAAAGCGGATGGTCTGTCCGCGATGACGGACATCTACGGAGGCCAAGTCTTCCAGCTGTGCGCGCATAATTCTCAAGCGACTGGCTGCACTGCCACTCGGTTCCGTGGGCTTTGTGTTAAAAGCACGGCACTCGGAGGTAGTGCGTGTTCGACCGGAAATCCTGTCTACAAGTGCCCAGTCTCCTTGGTCCTGGCTGTCGTCCGCGATCATGATGCTGTCGTTTGGCTGCCACTCCAATAGAAGTTTCCTACGCGGAAGATCCGCGACGGATCGCGAGTACTCCACCAGGGACAGGGAGCCACTGGTGTTTAGATCGGCAATGTGCTCTGCGCTGGCTTTCTTAAGCAGCACGCCGTCGTGGGTGAACAAAATCTTTGGAGACATTTTGCAAAAACACAAAATGACAACAAGAAAATCGTGAGTCAGGCTAAAATAACAATTTCAGCAAAGAGAGAAACTTACGTTGCCCGTTCCCTGCGGCGGTAGATTCTGGACATCTTCATCGGCGGAAGACGCCTGCGACTCGCTTAAGACGCCCAGCTGCACTTGGTGACAGCGGTCATAGCGCACCGATTCGTTCATGGCCTTTGGTGATCAGAATTTTACGTCCTACTACTCAATTAACTCTTCTCTATTACGTTTCAGATATAAACAATTGCCCAAACAAAAGGTGCTAAATATGCCCGCCTAATTGATTAGGGATTGTTTGGCTGAAAAATACTGCTGAATGGTCACATTTAATCATCATTTTTTTACGGTAACTCGCATTTGGCAGCAAATCAACTGATAAGGCGCCGTTTTTATATAAACCAGTGGTTATTTTCTAACGATTTGAATTGGTATCCGCAGACTTTATTTCACTTTTTTACTTGAAAGGCGATGCCCGATTTTTTAATTACAAGCACCAGCCAAGCATTTTTTCTACATTTTTCTTATTATGTATCCCTTCTCTTGCCCTTTTATTTTAATTTCTTCTTTGGATCCAATTATGTTTATCCCTTAAATATGTTCAGTATCAATACTTATCATAACATAAATAAATCAACTTCATGACCACAGCCTCATCACAACCACCATAAAATATTCAATCGAGAGTGAAAGTATTTCGCAACAACAGAGCACGATCAATTTAAATTCTCAGTATACTCACCGTTTTTGAAGAGAACTGAGATTATTTTAAAATAGATATGAGTCTCGTTGTATTTTGTAAATAGCTTTAAAGTACTTTATACGATGCTTCCTCTGGCTGTTTTGAAAACTTTTCTTATGGTTCAGTTTGTCACAGAACGTCGAAAAAGCAAAAGCACTTGTCAGATAAAAAATCAACAAATTTACAAAACATTCTCAGAAAATTTAAGCCGAACACAGGTGGGTGTCAAATATTTTTGAGCCTTTCAGTTAACTACGAATATAGATAATAGATGGAAATGAATAAATAAATACTATTCGAAGAAAGTGATTAAAAGGATGTCCCGAGTAATAAGTTCAAATTATATAATTACTTATAGCAAATTGTCTGTAAGTGTCAACAAAAGTATCCTCTGATTAAATGGACATTTTCCAAAATTTAAAGCATCAGATTTACTGAAAATGTCATTTAAGGGTCACGTTCTTGAAATATTAAATACTTTGGGAGAGTCGCAAATGAGTAAATATATACATATATATTTATATATGTATGTATATGTACAGTTTAGACATACATAAATGTAACATGATTTGCCAAATTTTTTGTGAATCCGAAAAAAGTGAAAAACTATCTGCACACACCTTGACATAAATAGGAATTGTGGCAAGACCCTTAACAGAGTTTTACATTAGTTACGAAAAGTCAAATTTCTCTCTTGAGTGCTGTGATATCGAATTTTTACTCACGATCTCTCTCTATATGTGAGAAAGCAAAAATATTTATTTCATTCACTTCATTTAAGAGTGAGAAAAAAGAAAATCAACCGCAAAGCCAAAAAACATGAAAATCTGTAGGCCAGAAATAGAGTCACCCACAGTTTTGAAAATAAATTAACTTACAAGGTATTTTTAAAAAAGATAACATGAGCCATGGTGTATCCGTTTTATTATTCATATTTTTCGTTTTCAGAATTTCATGGACAAGTCATCGCGTCCCAAACGAAATCGTCGTCACAGCAGGTTAGATATTTAAATATATTTTACTATTATTTATGAGCCCTTTTCCAGACGCGCCTGGCCACCGGAAGAAGAGCCACAGTCAGCAGCAACACGACCTACAAAACGATTGTTTACGCCCGACATTAAAAGAATGCTTAAGGATTGGCTGATACGTCGTCGGGAGAACCCTTATCCCAGCAGGGAGGAAAAAAAACAGCTCGCGGCGGAGACTGGGCTAACCTATACCCAGATCTGCAATTGGTTCGCAAACTGGCGAAGAAAGCTGAAGAACTCTGAGCAAGAAAAGGCTAAGAAATCGTGGGGTCACCTAATAAAGAATTATAACCACAATGCAAGGGGCAATGTAGAACAATTTAGCATCTCGTCAGAGGACAGTATATGGGAGGAGGAAATGCGCGTGGATGATGACGATGGCGACGATGACGATGAGTTGTCCAGCCATAGCACTGGCAGCGATGGGAATGCCAATAATGATTCATCTTCTCCATATAAGCAAAATTTTTATTTAGAATATGGAGACTTGTCCGGACGGATACCAATCTTAGAAGAAGTACAGAAGGGGGGCAGGACCAAGTACAAGAACCAGATGATGGAGAAATACATGCGGGATAGTTCTACAACGGAAGCGGCCAATCAACCGGGGACTCAATTTAAGAAATGGCTTGACAGTGCTTCTAAATTCACGCCGGAAAGGAACAATTATCACATTGAGTGGAATATGAGCAGGTAAGATAGGTAATGGCCTCCTGGGTACTTTCCGAAAAAAAAAACATCTTAACTTTAGGCAGAAGAGCAACAGTACAACTAGCTGTGGGTCGGTGATCTTCACAAGCGAGCCTGCTGCGGCTGATCGCGCTAACTGCTGGATGCTCCATCACAAGGATGAGCTCGATGCCGCTGAGGCCTTGGCCAACCTCGCCTTTAACTACAGGCAGCGCTGGCACCATACCATGATCAGCTCGTAGGCCAGACAACCGAAGACTTCACAACTGACGCCATCATTCCAGCAGAAGTTTTATGCACCGTTGGAAAAAGCAATCTAGTCATACAATATTTCTGATTTTTATATCCGAACTTTCTTAACAGTACTTGGTTACACATTTTGTTAAGGTCAATCATATCTGTAAAAATGAATATCAGTTCGAAAATAAACAATTTTTTTGCAAAAAATTTTAGATTGAAAAGAAATAAACCAATTATAGTTTCTCTTAGTATGTAACAGAATTGGTTTTACTTTAACTCTGCCGTTAAATTGGATTCCGGCTCCTTCTTTGTCGCCAAGTCTTTGGATTGGGCATCGAGCACTCGTACTAAGCTATTCTGATGTATTGACAAGTGCTGGACGAGATTGCCTGACGCCTGGTTAAGGATATGGACGAGTTGCGCCTGCGCGGCCTGCAGACCCGGCATCTGTGCGTAGGTTAACAGTTGGTTTCTGCTGAGCATGGTCCCCTCCACTATGCCGCCCAAAAGGACCATTTGCGGCACCTTGCGGGTTATCTTAAGCAGAGTCGCAGTTTTCTGCTGGTCCGGGGAGAATACGATGCAGTGGTTTGAGTGAAATAGTGGCAGGATGGCCTCGTAGCGAGTATCCGCCACAGCTTGTCCTATAATCTTGCTGCCGTAGGACTTGAGGTGAAGGTTCTGCTTGTGCAACTGGACACGCACGCGAAATATCTCGTCGGCGTTGATTGAGTTCAGGTGGAAAATGGCCACCAGCTTGGAATGGTCCAGCCAGTTGCGTATCTCGCGTGCGATTATATCGTTGTAGGGGTTTTCCACATGCTGATGCGTTCGCTCTGCCCGCGTTTTAAAACAGCTTTTGGCCTTTGATGGTTCCGGATATTTCGGCTGAGTGACTGCGATGACTCTGGCCCGTTCATAATGCGGCTCCTTAGGCCGTTGAATATTTATTTTTCCTCTAAATCGGAGGAACAGAAGAGTAGGATTTCTTGGTTTTGCCAGCGGAAGGCCTATAACAATTTAAGATTTCGCAATTTATTAAATCTTTAAGCATGTTTAGTTACACAATAACACACATTGTACTAGGCCAAACGATTGGATTTACAATTAAAACAAATTAAAACAGAGGCACTTACTCTTCTGTATAAAACTTGCCATGGTGTAGTTCTGCTAAAAGGTTTTTCTACTTCGAAGACGTTTTATTTCTCTTATTTAAACTCTTTATTTTCATAATTCTCGAGTTTTGCTAAAGCATTCGATATCTAGAGAGGTGACTAGGTCCGAGGTCTATCGATAGTTATTTAGTACTCGGTGATGTTGGATAGCATATCGATTATTATACTTTTCATACAACATCATAACCCCATATAATCTTAAAAGATAATATTATTTTTCAGAATAGACGATTTCTTGGAAAATAAAAGCAGCACAAAACAGTCGCTCTTTTGGCTCTGCGTCTTGTTTTGACCGAGCTAGAGCTAGAAACCGCATATAATATTCAACATTTCTGTTAAAAATTAGTTTTTAGGTTTTTAGCCATTAAATCAGCACTCGCACTAACAAAATCAGAACAAAAGTGTTAAAAGCAAGTAAAGGGGTTTTAAGTACTGGTAGTCAGCTGCATAAAACAGTCTTTGTTTTGCCGTGCGATTTCTTTTGACAAAGTTACAGCTAAAAAACTGCAAAAAATCGCTGTTCTCAGTTATCAAAAGTCGCGTACTTGATTTTGGGTCAGAAAAATCAATTGTTTTACCATAGCACAGCCAATAATGGTCCAAATGTGGAATGCCATATCTCGTAGGGCTCGTAATTTGATTGCTATAATTCCCAATTGGTTTGCATTCAAATCTGGGAAACTTAAATTTTTCGCATTTTTCGCAAATTTTGATGATGGTACCCCTTATCAAAAATGCGAAATTTTGTCGAAAATTAATTTCTCTAAATCGGAAAACAAGTGATAGGGGTAGTAAGTTCTGGTCGTTAGCAGCACAAAACAGTCGTTCTTTTGGCTCTGCGTCTTGTTTTGACCGAGCTAGAGCTAGAAACCGCATATAATATTCAACATTTGTGTTAAAAGTTAGTTTTTAGGTTTTTAGCCATTAAATCAGCACTCGCACTAACAAAATCAGAACAAAAGTGTTAAAAGCAAGAAAAGGGGTTTTAAGTACTGGTAGTCAGCTGCATAAAACAGTCTTTGTTTTGCCGTGCGATTTCTTTTGACAAAGTTACAGCTAAAAAACTGCAAAAAATCGCTGTTCTCTGTTATCAAAAGTCGCGTACTTGATTTTGGGTCAGAAAAATCAATTGTTTTACCATAGCACAGCCAATAATGGTCCAAATGTGGAATGTCATATCTCGTAGGGCTCGTAATTGGATTGCTATGATTCCCAATTGGTTTGCATTCAAATCTGGGAAACTTAAATTTTTCGCATTTTTCGCAAATTTTGATGATGGTACCCCTTATCAAAAATGCGAAATTTTGTCAAAAATTAATTTCTCTAAATCGGAAAACGAGTGATAGGGGTAGTAAGTTCTGGTCGTTAGCAGCACAAAACAGTCGTTCTTTTAGCACTGCGTCTTGTTTTGACCGAGCTAGAGCTAAAAACCGCATATAATATTCAACATTTCTGTTAAAAATTAGATTTTAGGTTTTTAGCCATTAAATCAGCACTCGCACTAACAAAATCAGAACAAAAGTGTTAAAAGTAAAGGGGTTTTAAGTACTGGTAGTCAGCTGCATAAAACAGTCTTTGTTTTTGCCGTGCGATTTCTTTTGACAAAGTTACAGCTAAAAAACTGCAAAAAATCGCTGTTTTCTGTTATCAAAAGTCGCGTACTTGATTTTGGGTCAGAAAAATCAATTGTTTTACCATGGCACAGCCAATAATGGTCCAAATGTGGAATGTCATATCTCGTAGGGCTCGTAATTGGATTGCTATGATTCCCAATTGGTTTGCATTCAAATCTGGGAAACTTAAATTTTTCGCATTTTTCGCAAATTTTGATGATTGATGATTTTTTTTATCAAAAATGCGAAATTTTGTCGAAAATTAATTTCTCTAAATCGGAAAACGAGTGATAGGGGTAGTAAGTTCTGGTCGTTAGCAGCACAAAACGGTCGTTCTTTTGGCTCTGCGTCTTGTTTTGACCGAGCTAGAGCTAGAAACCGCATATAATATTCAACATATGTGTTAAAAATTAGTTTTTAGGGTTTTTAGCCATTAAATCAGCACTCGCACTAACAAAATCAGAACAAAAGTTTTAAAAGTAAAGGGGTTTTAAGTACTGGTAGTCAGCTGCATAAAACAGTCTTTGCTTTTGCCGTGCGATTTCTTTTGACAAAGTTACAGCTCAGAAACTGCAAAAAAATCACGGTTCTCTGTTGTCAAAAGTCGCTTACTTGATTTTGGGTCAGAAAAATCAATATTTTTTACCATAGCACAGCCAATAATGGTCCAAATGTGGAATGTCATATCTCGTAGGCCTCGTAATTTGATTGCTATGATTCACAATTGGTTTGCATTCAAATCTGGGAAACTTAAATTTTTCGCATTTTTCGCAAATTTTGATGATTGATGATTTTTTTTATCAAAAATGCGAAATTTTGTCGAAAATTAATTTCTCTAAATCGGAAAACGAGTGATAGGGGTAGTAAGTTCTGGTCGTTAGCAGCACAAAACGGTCGTTCTTTTGGCTCTGCGTCTTGTTTTGACCGAGCTAGAGCTAGAAACCGCATATAATATTCAACATTTGTGTTAAAAATTAGTTTTTAGGTTTTTAGACATTAAATCAGCACTCGCACTAACAAAATCAGAACAAAAGTGTTAAAAGTAAAGGGGTTTTAAGTACTGGTAGTCAGCTGCATAAAACAGTCTTTGTTTTTGCCGTGTGATTTCTTTTGACAAAGTTACAGCTAAGAAACTGCAAAAAATCGCTGTTCTCTGTTATCAAAAAGTCGCGTACTTGATTTTGGGTCAGAAAAATCAATTGTTTTTTACCATGGCACAGCCAATAATGGTCCAAATGTGGAATGTCATATCTCGTAGGGCTCGTAATTGGATTGCTATGATTCCCAATTGGTTTGCATTCAAATCTGGGAAACTTAAATTTTTCGCATTTTTCGCAAATTTTGATGATGGTACCCCTTATCAAAAATGCGAAATTTTGTCGAAAATTAATTTCTCTAAATCGGAAAACGAGTGATAGGGGTAGTAAGTTCTGGTCGTTAGCAGCACAAAACAGTCGTTCTTTTGGCTCTGCGTCTTGTTTTGACCGAGCTAGAGCTAGAAACCGCATATAATATTCAACATATCTGTTAAAAATTAGTTTTTAGGTTTTTAGCCATTAAATCAGCACTCGCACTAACAAAATCAGAACAAAAGTTTTAAAAGTAAAGGGGTTTTAAGTACTGGTAGTCAGCTGCATAAAACAGTCTTTGATTTTGCCGTGCGATTTCTTTTGACAAAGTTACAGCTCAGAAACTAAAAAAAATCACGGTTCTCTGTTGTCAAAAGTCGCTTACTTGATTTTGGGTCAGAAAAATCAATATTGTTTACCATAGCACAGCCAATAATGGTCCAAATGTGGAATGTCATATCTCGTAGGCCTCGTAATTTGATTGCTATGATTCACAATTGGTTTGCATTCAAATCTGGGAAACTTAAATTTTTCGCATTTTTCGCAAATTTTGATGATGGTACCCCTTATCAAAAATGCGAAATTTTGTCGAAAATTAATTTCTCTAAATCGGAAAACGAGTGATAGGGGTAGTAAGTTCTGGTCGTTAGCAGCACAAAACAGTCGTTCTTTTGGCTCTGCGTCTTGTTTTGACCGAGCTAGAGCTAAAAACCGCATATAATATTCAACATTTCTGTTAAAAGTTAGTTTTTAGGTTTTTAGCCATTAAATCAGCACTCGCACTAACAAAATCAGAACAAAAGTGTTAAAAGCAAGAAAAGGGGTTTAAGTACTGGTAGTCAGCTGCATAAAACAGTCTTTGTTTTTGCCGTGCGATTTCTTTTGACAAAGTTACAGCTAAGAAACTGCAAAAAATCACGGTTCTCTGTTGTCAAAAGTCTCCTACTTGATTTTGGGTCAGAAAAATCAATATTTTTTACCATAGCACAGCCAATAATGGTCCAAATGTGAAATGTCATATCTCGAAGGGCTCGTAATTTGATTGCTATGATTCCCAATTGGTTTGCATTCAAATCTGGGAAACTTAAATTTTTCGCATTTTTCGCAAATTTTGATGATGGTACCCCTTATCAAAAATGCGAAATTTTGTCGAAAATTAATTTCTCTAAATCGGAAAACGAGTGATAGGGGTAGTAAGTTCTGGTCGTTAGCAGCACAAAACAGTCGTTCTTTTGGCTCTGCGTCTTGTTTTGACCGAGCTAGAGCTAGAAACCGCATATAATATTCAACATATCTGTTAAAAATTAGTTTTTAGGTTTTTAGCCATTAAATCAGCACTCGCACTAACAAAATCAGAACAAAAGTTTTAAAAGTAAAGGGGTTTTAAGTACTGGTAGTCAGCTGCATAAAACAGTCTTTGATTTTGCCGTGCGATTTCTTTTGACAAAGTTACAGCTCAGAAACTAAAAAAAATCACGGTTCTCTGTTGTCAAAAGTCGCTTACTTGATTTTGGGTCAGAAAAATCAATATTGTTTACCATAGCACAGCCAATAATGGTCCAAATGTGGAATGTCATATCTCGTAGGCCTCGTAATTTGATTGCTATGATTCACAATTGGTTTGCATTCAAATCTGGGAAACTTAAATTTTTCGCATTTTTCGCAAATTTTGATGATGGTACCCCTTATCAAAAATGCGAAATTTTGTCGAAAATTAATTTCTCTAAATCGGAAAACGAGTGATAGGGGTAGTAAGTTCTGGTCGTTAGCAGCACAAAACGGTCGTTCTTTTGGCTCTGCGTCTTGTTTTGACCGAGCTAGAGCTAGAAACCGCATATAATATTCAACATTTGTGTTAAAAATTAGTTTTTAGGTTTTTAGACATTAAATCAGCACTCGCACTAACAAAATCAGAACAAAAGTGTTAAAAGTAAAGGGGTTTTAAGTACTGGTAGTCAGCTGCATAAAACAGTCTTTGTTTTTGCCGTGTGATTTCTTTTGACAAAGTTACAGCTAAAAAACTGCAAAAAATCGCTGTTCTCTGTTATCAAAAGTCGCGTACTTGATTTTGGGTCAGAAAAATCAATTGTTTTACCATAGCACAGCCAATAATGGCCCAAATGTGGAATGTTATATCTCGTAGGGCTCGTAA